GGATGAACCCAAGGCATTATAAGTGGTAGTCGCACTAGAGCTCGAACTTTTGGATGAACCCAAGGCATTATAAGTGGTAGTCGCACTAAAACTTGAACTACTTGAGTAACTCTTAGATGAACTTAGGGGAGCAGAAGTTACTCTGGTAGAACTAGATAGTATATACAGGCTAGACATAGTGGAAGAGGATGGATAAACGCTAGTTCGGCTGTTTGTCGATATATCTGTTCCGGCAATACATTCGATATTATTTTCATTAGTACTATCCATATAGGAATAAACTTGGGAACCCCAGTTCGAAATTACTGTTCCATCTGGTAAGGTTAATGTTGTGCCTAAACTTGCCACAGATTTAGAATTTGTATAGACAATTTTGACTGGATAATAGTTCCCGGCGTATAAGTAAATTTTAGACGACACAGTCATTGCAGCCCCTACACTTGGTTTGATGCTAACAACATCACTGTAAAACATTAATGAAGGGTGTTGATCCGATTGGGCGCAGCAATCAAATGCAACCCCAGCACCGACAGTGATGGAAGCTGCATCATCAACGTTGTTTAAAGAAAATGAATAATTACCAGTCTGAGTAGTATAAAGATAACCTGAAAGTTCAACAGTGATGTTTGTTGCGGTAGTCATAAACCCATACATGTTTATATTACCGACAGCGTCGCTATCCGCATTTTTACAAGTCTGATAGTTACAACGTAGATGGGTTGAGTCAGCCCAATTTAAACTAGCAGATAGAGGACAAGTAAATGTGGTTGGCCCTAGAATACAAGGCCTGACACTATAATTTGGATCAATAATGTTGTTGGATGTCCCGATAGGATTATTAGTCATGTACAGTCCTTGAACCCACAGGTTGTTATTTGTTGCCTGAGTTGATCCAATACGATATGGGAAAAATCTTGCACTAAAACCTTGAGTACTTGGACCAGTTGGTAGACATGAACTTCTATCGGCCAATGAGCTCGTTGGATAAAATAACAACGCTAAAAATAAATTGTGAAAGAAGGACCACATAGACATAAAAATACTTGTAATGCTTTCTTAAGTCACTCTTGATTCGAGTAAAAGATATTAGGATAAAAAATGAAGTGAAACTAAATGAAGTGAAAAAAATAAAATAATGGATTCTGGAATAGTTTTTGATATACCTTCTGGATGTTTACTCGCCTGATGGTCGTATTAGAGGTGTGTAGTTATGTTTTAATGTTCAAATAAAAGAATAAAACCATGGATCCATGGGATCCATCAACATCTCAACATTGATGGGTATATATATCGGAAAGGGCAGGGACTTCAAAAATAAAATAAAAATTTTTTAATCACTAGATCCAAACTATAATTTTATGTTAAAAAAACTACTTGTAAAAATTAGAAAACTGTCACGCAAAAGAAAGAACAATATACTGAATTAGCCTAATTACAATGGGAAGATTAGAAAAGAAAACAGTAGCGTGGGTCAATATAACAATACATCTTTGAGAGTTACGTTTGGTCGAGAACAAAAATAATAAAAAAATTAATTTATCTGATTTTCTTTTCTTCGAGTAGTAAGAAACTTGAGAGTATACTTTATTCTATGCTATATTACTGATTTAGTAATATAGGTAGGTATGTCTTGAACTTGGAAATTTACGAAGAAAGAATAACAAAAATCTACAGAAGAAAATATTATTTGGCGACTCATTTTTGTAGGTTCTTATTCTGTTACAGATAGCCGGCTTTGCATTGAATAAAATTTGTCACCGACTTTTTGAGAATGACACACGTCAAAATTTATGATTAACCCCCCCCCCAGTAGGAAGTGTTCCGATGTAAATCGGTTAATAAATGGGGAGAAATATTATTTGAGAAGTTAAGAGATATCCTAAAATAATTTCAAGGCGAAACACAAAAAGTAAAATTTACTCTAAAAAATATAATATTTCTTTATGCCATTCATTGATTTACATTGCTCCTTAGGGGTTCTCTACGTCAGATTTTAATCTAATTTGGACATGTAAAAAAAGGGTGACGAAAAATTAAAGATCTAATTAAATGTTCATTTAGTAGCTTTTTGAATTCTTCTGATAGTCTAAGGTCTTAAAACTTTTGAAATTATCGTTTATTACTTCTTGAAAGGGTTTTTTTGCTGATCTCGCGTCAGTAGCTTATCCTACTACCATCACCAATCAAATACCGTACGTGTTACTATGAAAAATATTTGCTACGTGGGTTGATTAGTTTAATCTTTTAGATAATTTATTAAAAGTCAAGTAAATGATGTAAGTAGAGGAAAAGGATGGCGGAGTCGTTGACTAACTTTATTAACCGTAATGAAGGGGGAAGGCCCGAAATTTAACAGTAATACTTAAGTAGAAGCTTCATTTTAATGATAGGGAGGGTGTATGCAAAGGAAAAAACAATGGTTATAAAGTTTCATAAAGAGGAACCGAGACATTTGTACGAAAATTCGCAATTGTTTCCAAGTAATTTTTAGCTTATTCTCTAAAAGGGAATAAATTAAACTGTAGGAAATAGATGACTATCGCTCAGCCAATTACACTACTCGTTTGAAAACTGGAAATATCTTGATTAATATGGGAAATAATAACAGTATATGATCTACTTGTACACCACCGCAATTAAAATAATTTTTTTTTTAATATTATTTGTTTCGTTTGTTTGTTTTTTATCCGTTTAATATTCGTATTATTCATTGCTCTACCATTTTAGAACATGTAGTGTGTATAGTCGTCTTTTATCTTAAATTTACAATGCCAAAATATTATTTTTAATCAAGTTTAGTCATTTCTCACCTTTTCCTCCTTATTTTATTATATATCTCATTTTTATTATTAGGAATGAACTAAAATAATAGTAATAATAGTAATAGCTAACGTATCAATCCCATTTGGGTAACCAATAAGAATGTAGAAAATTGAAAAAACTTAGTATTTTTGTGATAACACAAGAGAATAATAGGAAATAAAAGAGAAAAATTAAACCAAAAATGGATAATAATTATCTGAATATGGATTGTTGGGTACAGGATACGAAATTTCAGCACTTAGAGAAAAATTAATCTTAAAACATAAAAAGAATTAATTTCAATCTCCTTTTCCAAGTAACTTAAAAAAGGCCATCAAAGAAGGGAATCATTTTTACATAACGTGGTGTGTTTAAACAAAATTAAACAAAAAATGCGGATAAATACATTTCATAATAAAGCTATTGTATAATTTGCATTTTTGAAAGGGGTTCTATTCAATAGTACAAATGTACCTTTTCTCCTGCTTAACCATATGATTAATGGTGCACATGACGTTTAAGAACTCTTTATTATAAGAAATCATTAATTAAATCGTTTGGTGTTACATTGCTCCATTGAGGAAGTAAGAGGATGCTAAAAATGAAAAGAAAAAGAAAAACTTTTTCTTCGAAAGTCCGACGCGGTTTTGTTAAACTATGATAACATGTACATAATAAACCCGGAGAGAGGAGGTTATAATACAATACAAAAAATTATATGAATGAATGCCCGGGTTTTCATTCAATAGTTGCTTTGACCAGAGAAGGTGATGCACTAAAAGGTAGTTGAGAGGGTGTTCGAATCGAGAACTTGAGAAGAATACGGAAGATATAACAATATATTTAAACCATCTGTCTTTCTTTCTTTTGATTTGACAATGAGTCAGCTGGAGCCATGATATGAGGGACAAGTATATAATCTTGCAGCAATATACTCAGGATATTTGTTTCCCCCTTCTTCTTCTTTTTTTTTCATAGATATTAAACTGCATTGTCTTGTGATAAACCGTTAATTCCATCAGTTGAGACTAAGAACGATTGAGGTATGGTGTCGTTCCCCCATCTTCCCCCAGCACACTAAGTATGCATAATACAACTAATTGCAAAATATTTTGGAATAATAGAGGTGTATGAAGAAAAAAAATTAAAGTTGACATTTAAGTCGACGAATGTGGTCATTTTTATGCCTGAATGGGTCTATATGTATATACATATGTCTCTATGATGTCATTCAATAATGAAAGAGGTACGTGGAACTGTTTTTTGATGACAGCAACCAATGGCACATTGCTTTTTTTTGTTTACTGAAAATATGGTGATAGTTGTCTTAACATCAAGATATATTTCTTTTCACTAAAAAAAATACTGGATAAAGGGGTTGCTGTTGTTGTTTGGTAGTTTTACTGTCTCGTTTAGTATTTAGGATTATCGTTACACCGTTTATACTGTAACAATTGATTTCTAAAACCAAATTGAAAAAGAAAATATGTTTTTATATGCGTTATTTACGAACCACAGTTAAATAGATTGAGAGTGTAATATCGATGTCATTTCTTTTATTATAACTTGGTCTCCCTTTTTTTGTTTTGTTTTTCTGTAAAGTAATTATTGATTACTCGTAGTATTAAACATATAATCCTGAAGAGAGAAAATGAAACAAAATTTGAATATCTTGTTATCTAATTACGGAATTTATTGTATTAAAACAATGGAAATAATTCATGTGTTTTCTTGGAACTTAATCCAAAGAACACGAGAATTGATTTAATTATTTGTACGTATTTGTTGGCCTTACCGTCAAAATATAAATTTCATAATACATCAAACAACCTATATTTTCGGATAATGATTAAAAGTAATATTAGTTGTCAACAAATTTACAATTTTTAATACTATTCAAATTTTAATTATCTCCGCTAAAGTTTCTTCTCCAGTTCTCCCTTTATCAACTTTTTTTTTTAATTGGGCAACATATTAAAATTGTAAACTAGTGTCACTTCCCCCACCCCCATATATCTCACTAAGAAAGGAGAAATGGCTAGGTAATTAATCACAATACTTATATTAAAGAACTCTTTACAATAGAATCATTTGTTTTTGCTATTACGTTTGCAAGAAATGAGGGAGGAGGATATGATAATATATGTCGTCATTAAAAATTAGTTTTTAAATCCTGTAAAATAAATGGTATTTTTGGCGTCAATACCAAGAATGAAAAAAATTTGAAGATTATTTGAGCATTAGTTTTTAGAAACCTATCCTTTTTTTCTTTAATTTTAATCGATAAATAAATAAATTACCAATTTCACATGTAATTTTAACTTTCCTGAGGGACATATCGATCAATAAAAAAGAATGGTTTATGCGATCCAATAATATATTTTAAAATTAACAGAGGAGCTCATGCCAAATGTAAATATTCTAAAAAATAAAAACAAAAAGTTAAGTATGTGAACATGTATCATTTAATATGTAGCGTATGGACTATTTCTATAAGAGAAAAAACAGATGCAAGGAGGAATTATTATTATCATTGATTTGTTTTTTGAGCTTGCAATTGAGCTCTTTTCTTCATCGTTGTTCCTACATGCCATGCGACAACTGGAGCCAATAAAGTATTAATAACAATCCAAGCAATTAATACACCATAGTTTCTACCCATTTTAATTCTTGTTAAATCAAAGAATATAACACGATAAATGTCGGCCACGTTATGCATTGGAAACATATAACCGACTCTATAAAAGACGCTTGCCAATGCAAATGGGAAGAAAGTAGTGGATGAATTAATAATAATGAAGAAAATCAACCAAAACCCTAAATACTGTGGACAGTATAAAAATATTAAACTTAAAACATTTTCATTTGCTCCACCACAAGCTAACATAAACATCCAAGTTGTCATCCAATAAACGACAAATCCACCACGTCCAAATGCTTTAGTGAAATCAATCTTATAAATTGCAGAAACACTACAATAAAATAATGAGATGAAAAAAAACGTAAACCATGTTAATCCAATTCTATAAAACATATAATGCTTTGGTTTTAATAATTTACCCATTTCTGCATTAATTGGTGCATATAACATAAAATGAAATATTGATAAAATAACAGCAAAAATTAAACCAACTTGAATAGGACTAATTAAAGCACGACGGTAATAAGCTCTGTAATCATTATAATTAAAATCCATTTGTAAATTGGTAGCTAAATTATCTAAATTCAATTGCACTGTTAAATTATTATTGCTGTTATTATTTAATTTAGAGATATTACCAATAAATGATGGGAAATATTGAGTAATGAAAGCATATCTAAAATTTATTTCTATAGCTTCTACTATTGGTAAAAATGAACCTACCATATTTGTTGGATCACGACCAGTTTCATATATTATTTCGAAAAACTCGCTAGAGTTAAATATTGATGATGAATCTTCACTAATTAAAGATTGATAAAGTGCAGCAGTTGCATTAGGTTTCATATTAATTGCAACCCAATAATGTTCGTCATAAATTCTTTCAATAACTTTATCATTAATTTCTTGGGTACCTTGAACTCCATATCTTTGTTCAAATGATGAAGAATTAAAAATTGACCATTTACCAGGAGATGAACTAATCATTGGTTCTAAAGTACTTGATAGAGATGTTGAAATCCCAGGAGTTATATTAGAATCTATTATATCATCTTGAATCACAGCTAAAAATTTAACTTTATGGTAGTATTTAGTAGTATAACCAGCAGCACCCCAAAACATTACTATGACTGTATATATTACAATAGCATATAATACATTTGTCATTAAGAAACTTTTAAGAATTTTTTTTCTTGATGAAATTATTCTTTTTGAGAAAAATCTTGTCTGAACAATTTCTAAGGGAGATCCTTGTGAAACTTCTTCATTATTATTAGATAATATGGATTCATCTTGCTCTTTAGCAAACTGATCGGACCCTATAGATAATTCATCTTGACCAATAGTTGAATCATTATCTGGTGCATTAGCATCATTAATTACAGTAGCTAGTACACTAGGTTCATTTTGAACAAAAGTCATTTGTTCATTTTGAGTACCACTTTCAGTATCCATTTTTTTTTTAAAATAAAAGATTAAAATTTAACTTGCTAATATATCTTTTGGATATATAGTTTTCTACCCTTTATTTTTGTTTTTTGTTGGTTAATTATAATTAAAAATAAATTTAAGAAAGAGAGAAATTAATCGTAACTTGAATTATTTTAATGTAAGATATCTTTTTCTTTTCTCACTTTATATATATATATGTATATATATGTGAATTTGAATCATGACTAATATATTCTTTTCTAAATTCGATTAAATATTGAAATAAATGGAAAAACGTGTTGTCTATAGGCTACTCACTGTTGTCATTACATTGATTAGTCAAACGTTTTCAAACAACAGAAAAGTTAGTAATCAATAACCGTGGACTTTATCTTTTTTCTTCTATAAGCCGTTGAATGTTATAATGTTATACATGACTACAGACCTTACCTTTTTAACGTCGCCCAGGATGCGTTCCGCCGTTTCTTCTTTTTAGTTTCTTCCCTCCTTCTTTTTTTTTATTACTACGACGATATAATCGAGAAGAGCTTTTTCTTTCACCTATTTTTTTCAACCCCCGCGGAGACGTTTCGAAATAAAAAAATTTGTAAATATTAACGGATAAGTGGGTACGGCTGTTTTCTTTGTTTTCAAAAGAAAAAATTCAAATATGTAAAAAGTGTACGTAGGCGCATTCCTTTATATCCGCGGAAATAAATGAAGAACTATTAATTACACGTATAGAAAAGTTAGAAATGGAAATGTGACAGCAGTAAAATAGGATGAACTTGTTAAATTACGTATTACGGTAATTGTACCTATGAAGGGTTTCTGTTAACCGTTCTCCAGATGCTAATAATATTGTGTCATATTCTGCGTAAGCAAATGAAATAGTATTTGTTTTCATGTCATTTGGTGATAGATACTATGTGATACGTCTAAATTAACTTGTTTAGTCAGTTTTTTCAATATCTGTACTGGTGTATTTGTTTTTTTTCTAGTGCAGTCAACAATTGTTAGTCCTGTTCTTATACAGTGTGACTACAGAGTAAAGAAAAGGCTAGTGAAACCAATTAGATCTCTGACTATTCAATATCACCATATTGTCGAATTACATAATATGGTCCGGTATGTTATGCATCTAATTTTTGTACAGTGATCATATATTCCAACCACTACAAAAAGAAAATGCTAATCTCGGATTCTTAATTGATACAATATTTTATTAAGAGGATTAATTGCTAAAGAGAAATTGAAACTAGAAATACTTAGTAGAAGGTTGTCCAATTGTTTCATTACGTAAAACAATTAACACATAGCTATTGATTACTAAGGTATTGACGCACAAGTTTTTTTTCTGGGAAAACGCAAGTGTCATATCTTTGGATGTAACCCATCAATTTTCTTACTAATTGAATTTTTAGTCTAAATTTTTAAGTTTGTTTGTTTTTTCGTCTCTACGCGCTATTGTTCCTTGAGTCGTGCAAAAGGGTCGCAGTGCGGTGCAATTAAGTACAGGAGTGAACTAATAATACAGACGCAGCTCCTAATGGCTGTGGAAAATGTTTTATATATAAACTGTATATTACATATAAGCAGTAACTTTTCTGGATGTTGATTTGTTTAGTTTTTGATGGGTTACAGTTTTCCTAAATTGGCTTGGAGTTCTCTCTACATATGTGAAAATTTTGCTATTCCTGCTAACAACAAAACCTCTCAAGAACAACCTTTTGTATAGTATTCATAAAAACCTTATTGACTAAGCCCAATGGGAACTGAGGTAACATCAAGCAAAAATAAAACAAGTTAAGGGTATGAGATTCTGGAGGTGGGAAATAGTATGAGAAAATATTTTCTAATCAATGGACATATCCTTTGTTTTTCTCATATGTATATCTCTTTTCAAACAGCCTCTTTTTAGTAATAATTAAATTCGTCACTTTGCTTTAATTTATTCATATATTTTAATCAATTATCCGTATCTTGTTTGTTTTTTAAAGTATTCGGTTGCCTGATACTTGATTAGTATATACGTTTCTTAACATGTTTGAGCGGCTCTTTTTTTATCACTTTTATTGTTTTGTTTACAGAATTATAATTTCTAAAAGGTAAGTCCAACCATCCTAACGTAACAAACAACAGAGGAAATCCCACGAAATGAAAAATTTGTAAATAAAAAAACAATAGTGATAATAATAATGAAAAAAGAAAAAAAAAAATTTGAATTTTGTATTATTTAAATTAATAAGAATATATTAAAAGTTACATCTCCATATACACATACGGTTATAAAATACTTGTAAATGAATGAACTAAAATCAATGGTAATATCTGTAAATAAGTGTTTTTGCGAAAACAAAAAGTGGTTCAAATAGGAAAAATAATCCTTTTGAAATTGTCATTTTCATTGACATTCAAGTTCTAACACCCCATATGAATTAAAATAAACTTCACCAAATAAATGTGTTGCTCGACCGTATGTTCCATTAGTTAAAGTACTTGGTGATAAACAAAATTTATAATCTTCAACATCCTTAATGAAGTTTGATACTCTTGTGACTAATTTAGTAACGTCGAAGTTTTCTAATTCGTTAATAATCTCACTGACATCAGTTTCCCCTTTCTTCACAACATAGGAAATCCAATTGACAACATTTTCGATACCTTCTTCAGCTTCTTGAAATGCTGGTACACCTGGGACAACACTAGAAATTTCTTCTGCTAATTTAGTAAAATTCGTTGCACCAATTTGGGCAGCAATATGACTACCAACATTAGTCTCAAAATGAATGATACCGCCAATTAAACTTTCACCGCTCGTCACCAAATCAGCAACAGTTGGATTATATAACCCTAATAGAGTTATACCAGCATCGTTCAGGATTTTAGCTACATCTTTGACAATATCAATACCATCAGAAATAATTCCATCGACAACAGGTCCATTGTCAGTAGAGGACGACGAAGAAGATGTAGTAGCTACAGCTTCAGTTTCAGTTGTAGCAGCATTAATAGTAACAGTGGTAACGGTTGGTGTAACGTCTGTTGGCGGGGTACCATTACCAATTGCCATAATACCAGTTAGCACAGTAGCAACAACAGATTCACCCAAACAAAGTAATGGATCTGCATCAGTACAAATGGTTTTGACGGTACCTGCCCAATTTGAGACATCTGTTGGAGTTAAATCGAAATACCAACCAGTATTACCTAGTTTAATGGTATCTCTTTTCAATAAAGGGTAAGCAATAGCAGTTGAAAGTATTAAAATGAAAAAGATTGTTTTTAAGTTAAGTTTTGAAATAGTTAACATGTTTTTGTTGTTTTTGTTTTTGTTTTTGTTTTTGTTTTTGTTGTTGTTTTATAATAATAACTATATTATGAAATCATTGGAAAGAATAATTGAGGTAAGTTTGAATAAGATATCTTGATCTCAGAACCCATTTATATAGATTTTATAATAAGTTCCTTTTCTCTTTCCAAAACGTAGATATATCTTAAGATAATTAAGATCAAACGATTAGTCATTCAACTTCTTATCAATACAGTATAATAATGGTGAAAAAACATAACAATTCATACTACATTCACATGCGACTAAATGTAGTTAGTTGATTAACATTAATAAAAATGTGGCAACCAACGTCTATGACATACATATTAGTTCAATTCCACAGTTTTGTTAAGAGTAATAAAATAAAAATTCTATTTCCATTTTTGGCATTTATTGCACCTTTGAGAAATCAGTAGATGGTGTGCTACGTAGTATTGGAACCAAATAAATAAATTCTATTAAAGTACCGAGTACCTCCATGGATACTTCAGTAAACATCTCATTTTACTACTCCAGGTTCCTAGCACGTGTATTGCCTCACATTTACTCCATAAAGGCTATTGAGAGACCCTAAAACAAAAATGCACATATCGATAATCAGTCACGTCACCAGGGGTATAGATAATAAGACAGAAACAAATGCCAGATTTATTGAATTGCTCAATAACTATAATTTTTATTATTTCTTCAAACTTAGTATGTCAAGCAAAGACAAAAAGCCTGTGCAATCCATCTCCTTCTGGCTCGGCCAACAGTATGCTCCTGTGCTTACTATCTGATCTAATCTAATCTAATCTAATCTGTAACATTCCTTAGATTGTTTCAAAGTTTGTTCTTGCATATATAAAATAAGCGGTATTCCGGTTTCAAGTTAAATTAGTGAAAGTGTGTTTCAATTTGTTCAATTTTAATCAAAATCTGATAAACGGCGCGCAGTCTACGCATACTTCTGTGAAAAGAATGATTCAAATCTGTAAAGCCGATTTTCGGTCAAGACCGTTTGAATCTGGGAATTACTTGTAAATATAGCAACATTCATGATAGACGTATTGGAACATTGTGGGGATGCTAGCTGAAAACGAATCTAATTTTGACGGAAGAATGTTCGAGGAAGTTAGATGAAACATCGATTGAGGATCCCATGGAATAAATGTCCAGAAATGTGAAGCCAATGGTATCTGTCATTACCTAAAGAGTCCATTTCTTCCTTTGCTTATCTCTTTGTCAAATTGTTTTCATTCGTCTTCTCCTATTTCAAGATTCGATACATAACATAACATTAATTTTAAAATACTCTATATTTGTCGTGGAAACTTCACCTTTTTGTTTCTGATACAATTTGAAGTTATCTTATCTATGTTCTTAAAGGTAAATGACACCTTCTGTTGCCAAGTAACATAGGTGTAAAATACGTCATTTTTATCACCAATAATATGACTTAATAGTATTACTACGAAATTCAAACTAGACTGCATCCAATTAGAATAGATATTAACAATTAATGTCTTTGGTTATCTTAGTTTTCTGATAAAGGAATCTTTTTATTGAGAAAAAAAAGATGTATCTTGAGCAAACGTGCCTAATTTTCGTATAGGCATAACCTTGTATGACTCAACTTAAAAAACGGCAATTGTAAAAGCATAGGATTAATTTTTTACTTATATCCATTCTATGTAACATATGTTTTGAATTCTTGACTTGCCTATCTATTGTAAAAATGAAAACTCAATGAGAGCTCTCCAACCGGATGTATTTATTCAAGAGGTTATCTGATTTTTTATGGCCTTAAACAACATAGAATGACATAGTAATTATATTCGCTCGAATATTTGCGCAATCTTGTAGTATTTGGAACCTATCGTTTGATTTTAATAGATGCCTTTTCTAGTAAATATAGATTTCTCTAGTTCTAGGATTTTATTATTACATTTTATTAATCAAAGGTTGAATTCTCCTTTAACCAAATGCGGACATTTCAGTATGCAAATAATAAGACGCGCGAATGTGAAATTGTTGCATTTGTAATAGTAATAAGAAATTTCAATATTTTAGCTAAGTGATCACTTCAATAAAAGGGATGGCGCAGAATTGAAAATTAATGTAAGTATTATGATTATAGATTATGAGTATTTAGAATATCTACTATGGTATTTATTATTATGATTATGTATAGGAGGAAAATAGGGACAGACTACAATGAGAAACTGGGGAAAAAAAGTTGAGTAAAGTTCTGTCTGTTCTTTAAAATTAGTTAGTTTCTTCGTCTGTCTTACGATGGAAGACCTTATTTAGGTATGTCATACCTTTCTCTTCAATATTTGAGACGTCGTTTTCATTGTCGGATTGATTTTCACTTTCGACGTCAGATAATGCAATGGTATCGGTCAATTTGTAATCTCTTAGGAGTAATGCGGCACCAATTAATGGAACACAGAACACTAGACCCACAATACATAGGATCTTTTGAACATGTCTGTATGATTTGACAAGAACTTCTCTTTCTGGAGTACCCCAAGTGTATACAGTGATGAAAGTGAATGGAGAACTATAAGCCTCAGCGGCCAATGTAGCGTTTGAGATACCTCTTTCAATTTGTTTTGGTAAGACCTGAGTCCAAATAGCACCAGAGACACTACCACCGACAGCGGCACCAACGTTATAGGATGCTAAGTACAATGCAGTGATAACAGCCAATTTTTGATGGGTCTTTGCGGAGGCTTGAATAGAAGCTTGTGTAGTGTAAGTAAAGAAACCAGCACCAAACCCTAATAAACATAAGGAACCAATGATACCAGAATGAGCTCCCGAGTTACCTCTAAATTGAACCAACAGACCGAAGGAAACAAACCAACAACAACAACCGAATAAGATGAATGGCTTAGTTCTCTTAAATTTAATAATGAAGAACCCAAGAATTGTACCTGTAATGACGGATACAAACGAATATAATGATGTAATCCTTGTAGCAGCCTTAACAGATTCGTGAACAGCAACAATCAGAACGGTATACATATAATCACCTTGCATATACCAGATAAAATCGATTAAGAAACCAATAATTAAAGCTGAGTAAATACCTCTGTCCTTGATCAAAGAATATGGAGTGATTGGATATTTGGCAAACTTGACTTCCCAGATGATATATAGTGGTAGAGACACAACCCAACCCAACACTTCAGGAACAATAATATGAGCAGCTTTCCATTCAGTGTTTAGACCACCAGCTAAAGTGAATGGAATTAAAATTAAACCGAATGTAACAGCGACTAACAATAGACCAATGAAATCCAATTTCCATAGAAATAGCTCAATGACAACGTAATCCCAAAATTCACGAAGAGATTTTGGCATCTTTGTGTCTTCATGCATTAGTTTATGACTAGCGTTCTTCTTAGCTAAATATCTCATATGGAAATGACATAACACTAATGGGATACAACTTAATGGTAAGATGAAAGCCCACATACCAATACCCCATTTCCAACGTGTACCAACTGCAGTAGTAACATTACCACTAATCCAAGTGTTAATGATGAATGGAGTAGCTGGAATGAAGGATGCTAACAATCTGTAATTCAAGTTAGAGAAATCGGCAGCAATCAATTCAACAATTAAGATGACACCTGTGGTACCTAATTGATACAAGGATGCACCAGCAGCAAACCTGGAGACAGTAGTAGCTTGAGATTCAATGATAGTACCGACAACATAGAACATGACAGCAACAAATAATAATGGAACACGACCCCAAATATCGGAGGCTCTAGCGAACCAAACCTGACCTGCAGCAGCAATGACAGCTTTGATACAGTTGACGGTTGATAATAGAGAATGTTGTGCGTAAGAAGAAGTGGCGTAAGCTTGGAAAGTGTAACGAATGTTACCATCTAAACCATATGCATAAGCAACCAAGAATAATGAGAAGAATAACATCGCTCTATAGACTGGTTGTTTGTATTGCTCGGAGTAAACTTTAATGTTATTAACACCGGCATCTTTTAAAGAAGAAGCATCACCATCAGCCAAAGAGACCTCTGTTCTTGTGGTCTTTTCCTTTGTAATAGTCTCTTGAGAGACATTAACTGATTCTTGCTTATTAGATTCCTCTTCAGCAGAATTCATCTTTTATTTTTTCGATATTATTATGATTACTATCGTATGTTATAACTATTAAGTTAAAAAGAAATTTGAGTACAAGAAAACAGAAATAGTAATTACATTATCAAGTTAACATTGACAAAGAAGGGTCCATTATGGGTTCTTTTTATAACATTTGATAAAATTCAAATAAAGAAAAAAAGGCCCCAGCTCATCGCAAGATCTCTTCGTTTTTTTTTTTTAATTTGCTTGAAGAGTTCATTGGCTGCTCAACTACACCCCATTTGAAGTAACCGATGAGCTTACAGGATTTATTAGAAGTAATCAAGGTCATCGTCTAATGCAATGACCTTTAAAGTAGAAAATTTTTCACTTTCAGCCATCGTTCCTTTTTCTTGTCATAGTCTTGTATGCATACATCACAAAACAGAAACCGAAAAAAAAAAAAAAAATTTTTTTTTCTGGTAAAAGAAGGTGCACTTTTAGCTAATTTATGCATAAGGTAAGAGAGAGAGAAGGAAAGAGACAGCTAGACCTGCGACACAGGCAGAGGGGCACTTTTCGAATGAGGAACTGCTTATACTGCGTAGCTTGTAAGCAGCCTTTTCTTAGTCTTTCATTTGCCAATTTACTAATAAACAAACAAATACTCACAGACTCTCACCTAGGACATTGCAGATAGCAACAAATACCAAGAAAGAAATAAGAGTTAATAGGATGATCACTTTCTCGAAAGGAGCGGGGGAGGAGGAGAGGGTGCACTTGCACACTAAGACAGGCGCTTAGCAAACGTTCTAAACTTTTTTTTCTTTAACAGAAACAAGGTGTATTTCTTGGATTCATGCATATTCTTATTAAGAAAAAACATACGTAAGTATTTGTCGTCCAGTTTTTTTTAATGGATTTATCAAATAAAAATGGTGTTTGTCGTTTAGCAAACATACTCTTTTCATACCGAAGGCACAATAATAATATTAATAAAAGAGAAGATGCTTTATTCTTTTTGGCATTGTTCTTACTCTTGAATTTTTATGATTTACGTGCAGAACCCATTTTTATTGAAATTGAGTCTCATAAAGTACTAGAACTTTCCTTTTTTCTTCAATTAGGTACTTTCTCATTGGATAGAAAATATAAATATATATAGTTCTCGGAAATGACAAGGATTGAAACATAATGAAGTCAATAGAATAATGAAACGAAGGGATGCCTTGGAATGCATTATATGTGCACGGGGGAGTGGCTATTCATATGCATATGTTTATTGGTTCAATCCTTTTGTTTTATTGAGCAAGGAATAGAGAAGATCTTTCATAGATTTTAAAAACTGGTGCAATTATTATCAAATCTTATACTAAAATAGTTCATATGCGGCAGAAATTTTCTTTGTAGTCCAGAAAAAGAATCTGTGAGGTAAGACGACAATATATACAAACCACTATTTTCTTTCATAACGTCAATTGGGTTAGTCTGTCTTTATGGTTAATGTAAACTTCAACAGTTTTTGTTTTCTACATTTTTCTTAAATACTAAAGATGACTTATGCCTTTTTTTTCTTTGAACCCAGTTGGCCTCATACGGAGTTAACGTAGACGGATTTAAGATAAAGTACACATGTACTGCAATCGTTATCGTCATTGATTGCAACAGGCAGGAATGAATGATAGTATGAGCCCTCATACAAATGCGATTATATACTGTGTGACTAACCCTATGGCACAAGCTCTTATTGTAATGAAATAGACTTGTATAGCTTGTAGTTGCGCCTCTAATGTAATAAGAACCAGTGAAATATGTTACTAGCCATGATATTATTTGTTTTGTTTTTCATAGTCGCTTCGCCTCTCCGATTCGAAGCCTCTGAGGCGCAGATTTTCATGCTGCCATTAATGGTATTTCGATGACCTTGACATCGATGACTTTGAAGACAGAAACCACACATTTCTGGAAGACTCAAAATATTTTTTTTTGTTATTCTTTAGCTGTTTACAGATATTGAAATGGAACTTGTCCACTTTTTGTTTTATTCGGGCTTAGCACATATATGGTAGTTTGTTGTTTAGTGTCAAAATATTGCGGCGGTTTCCAAATCCGGTATACAATAGCTATATTGAAAGCATAGAATAAAACAAACTAATTCAATGATACATTTTGAAATATGCTTTTTATAGAGGTTTAATGTTTATTTTATGGGCTGAGCGCTTGCAAGGATCTTCATGTTTAAGCCCATATTGGCTCTTTCTTAACTCCATTACGGCAATTTGTCTCAGTACCAAATTGATTATTTCATTTTCGTTTGTTTTCAAAGTACATAGCATAAACTGTTTGGAAGTAAAATATGAATTGAAAATCTACATGAGACGAGTAGTTATATAATTGACCATTCTAACTCGAATCAATTTTTTTATTTTTATTTTCTTGTTTGAATTTAGACTTTAATTAGATTTCTATTTTTAAAATAGTTAAAAATAACCAAACATTGCTAAAAACAACTAACTATTTTACTGGTAGAAACACTTTCAAAAATATGTCAAATTCCACCACTATTACTACATTAGAATTATACGGCTTTGAACCAAATCGTGGTGCTGCAGTATTCTTCACTATACTATTCTCCATCATGACCTTCGTTCAATTGTTTCTGTTGTTTGTTCATGCCAAGAAGAACCGACAGGCAATTCATCCAAACAATCGTTCAGAGAAACCCCCAGGTTTAATTTTATCCAGTTTCTTATCTTTATCCTTGTTCTACATCCCTTTAGTATTAGGTGGTCTGTGTGAAATGGTGGGTTTTATTACAAGATGCATATCGGTATTTTCTTATTCGGACCTCAATTCCTTTATTGCACAAAGAGTTTGTATTCTAGTGGCTCCAAACTTGTTTATGACTACAATGTATTTAATCTTTGGAAGACTAAATCAATTGATAAATATAAATGGTAATTTCATATTTTCGGAGACAATCAATAGACGTCTATTTGTCACAGGTAATATTGCAGGTTCTGTCCTGCAAGGTGTTGGTAGTGGTATTTCAAGTGGCGGTACTCAATCAGATTATAACCAAGGTAAGAAATTGATGCTTGCTGGTTTGTTCATTCAAGTCGGAATATTCGCCATCTTTGTATTAAGGGAATTTTTTTTATTTAAAATTATTAAGAATGGAAACAATGACATCGCTTATAACACTAAGAAATGGAGATCCCTTAATTTGGTACTATTGGCTAGTGGTGTTCTAATTATGATCAGATCTATTGTCAGATTAGTTGAAGTTTTTGAAGGTGCATCAAGCCCAATATTAAGATACGAATGGTTTGGTTACGTATTTGACTCCCTACCGATGTTTATATTAATGATGATGTATGCTCTTACAACCCCGGTATGTTCTTTGTTCCATATTCAAGCAGAAACTGTTGAATACTTAGAAAGAGAATATGTGTAGTTTACTAATGGGTACCATTTTGATTTCATCACTCTCTCTCAACAAAACTATATACTCGTACATAATTATAATTATTAATAGAAACCTTTAGACGTATATCACCATCCGTCTTTTACTTCAAACAGTCTCTGGTTATTACCTCAGTTTGAGTCTTCCTCAGGTCCTTGATAAGTAATAGTATTCCATTTGAGGCAATGAGTCGTGGATCGCGTCAACTTTCTTTTAGTTCTGCGTACATTTTTTGGGAGATGGTTCTGTGAACGACGCGTTTTGGCACATCAGCATGGGATACCACGTAAATAACCAAAAGAGAATAACTGATGACTATCTTCCTTTTAAAATAGTTAAACTGTAATATATACTTTATTTTAGCAACAATGGGTGTATTCAGGAATATATTTATTGGGGGGTTGACATATATTTATTAATCTATCTATCTATATATAAAGACCAATGTGATAATGAATATGATCCTGATCAATTGCCTATAGTGTTTATTTTCCATTCTTTAATGCAATCGTTAAATAACAAAAAAACAACAACAAAACAAGAATGCAGTTGCAAAATATAGTGGCTGCGGCTTCTATTTTATCGTATCTATATACTGTGGATGCTTGGTCTCCAACCGACAGCTATGCTCCAGCTCAAGGTTCATGTAATGGTAATACTAATTTGGTTAGAGAAGCCAATGGGCTTTCTACAGCCGAAACTGAATGGCTGGCCAAGAGAGAAGCTAATACTAAAGTCGCTTTGAAGAGTTTCCTAGAACGTGCAACTAAAGATTTTTCTGATAACTCAATCGTTGACCAGATTTTCAACTCCGCTACCCCAAGAGCAGGTTATGCTTCCTGTGGTGGTGGTTACAGAGGTACCTTCATTGATGCAGGTATCGCTGCAGCCATGGACGAAAGAACAGTTGGTGCCAACGAACATGGACTAGGTGGTTTACTGCAAGGTATGAGTTATATGACTGGTCTATCTGGTGGTACTATGTTCACCTCAACTTTATTATTCAACAATTGGACATCAGTTCAAGATATTGTTGATCAAATGAATGATGGCGATAATTCGATTTGGGATATCTCCGTTTCTCCACTGGCATTAGCTACTTCCACAGATACCACTACACAAAAAATGCTTGGTAGCATCTTGACAGCAATTAAAGAGAAATACGATGCTGGGTTCGATGTCACTTTAGCTGATGTTTACGGGTTATTCACAGGTTATTATTTATACCCATCCTTACCAGATGGTGGTGCTACGTACTTATGGTCAGATGTACAAGAAATGGATACCTTTAAGAACGGTGAAATGCCAATGGTGATTGAATTATCCAGTGCTGAAAAAACTGATGAAACTGCTGTTTCTCTAGGGTCTACCGGTTTTGAAATTACTCCGTTTGAATTTGGTTCCTGGGATCCAACCATTAATGCATTTACTGACATGAAATATTTAGGTACAGATGTCTCTAATGGTGTCCCAACCAATGAAGATGAATGTGTTACAGGGTTTGACAACGCAAGTTTCTTAACTGGGGCTTCTTCTAATATTGTCAACTACATTTATTACCAAGGTAATGCCATGTACCGTTCCGCCGTGTCTACTTTAAAGAGCAAATTCTTACCAAGTAACTCCACTGTAGAGCGTTTTGATGTCAATATTATTAGACCAAATCCATTCAAGGACACCGAATACTTTGATGGTTCCGATAAGGATTTGATCGATATGGATGGTCTATACATGGTTGATGGTGGTTTTGGTGGTCAAAACATTCCATTCACCCCATTAATGAGAAAAGAGCGTAACTTAGATGTTGTCTTTGCTTCAGACACAACCTACAATACCGCTGATGTTTGGCCAACTGGTTCATCATTAGTTAGCACCTATACTCGTCAATTTATGGCCATCGGTAAGACTGATGCCTTCCCATATGTTCCAGATACTGAAACAATGGTTAACTTAGGTATTAACAAAAAACCAACTTTCTTTGGATGTGACTCCTCAAATTTGACCGATTTGGCTTACGTTCCACCTTTAGTCGTCTACTTACCAAACAGAGCTTACTCTTTTAATTCAAACATTACCACCTGGACTTTAACCTACACCAAAGAAGAACGTCTAGCTATGATTAAAAATGGTTTTGAAATTGCCACTAGAAACAACTTCACTGATGATCCAGATTTCTTAGGTTGTGTTGGTTGTGCAGTTATGAGACGTAAGCAAGAACAATTAGGCCTAGAATGGCCAAGTGAATGTGAACAATGTTTCCAAAGATACTGTTGGAATGGTACTATTGCTCACTCAAGAAACACTTCCTCTGATAGTACTCCAGACACTACCAATGATGTTCTACCAGATTCTGTTGACGTTTCTTCCATTGTAATTAATCAATGTAGTGGCGATGACTGTTACAGTACTATCCATACAGCTACCTCTACAACAGTTACCTGTCACGAATGTGAAGAAAATAAGACTGCTGAATCTGCTTCCTACACTACCACTACTGTTGAATGTGAAGAATGTGAAGAAGGTCATACACAAGCCACAACTACAGTTGAATGTGAAGAGTGCGAAGAAGAAGCACAAAATGGTAATCACAAGTACACAACTGTCACATCCCTAGCAACTACCACTGAAGTTTGTGAAGAATGTGAAGAGGCCCAAGCTACTGCTATGGCAAACAGTGGCTCTAATGCTTCCAATAATGATTCTAATGGTTCCAACAATGTTGTTATATCTTCAACTTCTAGCCCAACTATACTACAAGTCACCACTGGTGTACCAACATATTCTGCCATTAGTGTGGTAGTAAATGAAAACATTGGTAACTCAATTGGGTTAAAGGGATTGGCAACTATTATCACTCTAATGGCCGCAATGGTCGGCGTTTTCTAATTCGATCATTCTAATTACTTTCATATTTCTTTGTAAATTTATTCGGTTATAGTTTTTTTGTATATTTTCAAAAATAAATGGTATATCATTAAAAGTGGCAAAAGATTTCAAAATTTTGAATTTTGTTTAAAATGTTAAACAATTAGTGCATCCTTCAGTAAGCCTGCTGAGTTGATATTGTCATATTGACTTGAATATTGTAAAGTTTAATATCGTGCGCAGTTTCTTATGCGCATGACGTGCATTGGCCTATCCGACATCTAACTGAATATAATTTAAGGACAATGAAATACATAACGAACTAGAACTGGGGGACATGGGGAAATAGATACTTTAAGTGAATTTTTAATGTGATATCATATTAGATAGAGATATTAAATATTATTGAAAACTGTTACTCTTGATGATTGAGTGATAAAGTATAAATATGGACTCTTTGAGGCTTCCATCATGAATTGAAAGATGTTTGGTACTTATCAAAATCGGGAACAGAGTATTTTAACACAACCTTAAAGTCAATAACAATGTCTTACAACACTATAGAAGTTAACTCACCAGCTCCTTACTTTTGTCTTAACAAACTTGATAAACAACCTGAAGTCTTGGTTATCACAGGTGCTAAAAAGAATGTGCAAGCAAAAATCGAGAAGGATATCAAGATTCTAACGTCCCACAATTGTGATTCTGCTATTTGTTTGGCTTATTATTCGAATGGGAAAACATTTCTCCGTCTGCCAACAGAAGCTGTAACGGATTCTATGCTGACTAGAGGAGGATTTATCAAATTAGACTGTCCAACTAGTGAGCAGGTAATAATTTTAGATAAAAAGGTCACAGAGTGTAAAGATTCGAAAGAACCAGCCATCATTATGACAAGTAATACATTCGATCCAGTTTTTTTCGAACAATTAAAATTAACCTCAAATACGACTCTAAAAATTGAACTCCTAGTTGTCGATCTGCCTGTCTGTTTAAAATATTTGAACGTTTCTCCTGGTTCATTGAGTTCAGTTGAAAAGTTATTCCAACTATTGCAGAATAGTTTATCTGACAAGACTATTGTGAACATCCTGGTTCTTAACACAAATTTTGGAACGCATGGTAACGTACTGTATTTAGGAGAAACGAGTGAGTTATTCAATCTCCAATCCAACACACCTATTACTGTTGATCCATCCTCGGTAACTACCTCGGTAATTGCAAACCTTTCACAAGGATATGAACTTAAGGAATCTGTATATGGTGCCATTGAATTTATTCAAAATGCTAATTTACTTGAGTCAAGTACTGGTACGCCAAATTATATGTATAATATTGAAGTCCCACTCAAACACATGCTAAAAGATGAATGTTTTAAGGCACATGAAATGCAAACTGCAAATTTTGTGAATCATACCAGCCCAGTTGGTGAAGGATTTTTCGAGTATTTAATTAACCACTCTCTGGTCAAACCTCATTGGGAATCCTACGTTAATCATGACTTCGTGAGACAAATCGCCAATGGCACATTGGATATTAACAAATTTAGATTTTTTATTGAACAAGATTACTCATATTTGGTTGATTATGGAAGAGTGCACTGTATTGCAGGTAGCAAATCTCCAGAATTAGATAATATGGAGGAAGAATTAGTAATTGTTGGAAGAATTAGAGAAGAGATGGCGCAACATGAAAAGAGATTGAAAGAGTTTTTTGGTGTTACTGATAATTCTTACTTTAAAAATATTAAAAGAGGTCCGGCATTAAACAATTACTCAAGATATTTTAATGATGTCGCAAAAAGAGGCTCATGGGAGGAATTAGTAGCTGCATTGACACCATGCATGATGGGTTATGGTGTTGCTGCTCTCAAGTATAAAGGGAAAATAACAGCCAAGAAAGGAAGTCTCTATGAAGAATGGATCGATATCTACTCTTGTAGTAATTATGAAGATGGTATGAAGATTGGCCAAAATCTCTTAAATCGAATTGCCAGAACATCTACACCTGCTCAAATAGAGAGATTGGCAAGAATCTATGGAGAAGTATGTGCCTTAGAGACTGAATTTTGGGATGCAGCGTTAGCTTATTAGTTGCTTGGTTACAGAATCCAAAAATATATTATAGAATATTGATATATATATATATATATATATATTGGATATAAATTTCTTTCATTCTTTTTTTAGACAACTATCATATTTATTTTTCAAGATTTACATCTATTCAGTGGTTATATTAATAAATGCGGAAAGGTTTAGGGATGTATGGTTCTTCTAAATATTTTAGTTCTTCTTCCGTAAACTTTACATCTAATGCAGCTAATGCATCGTCAACCCTCTCTATTTTATTAATGCCAACAATAGGGAAACAACCTTTACTAACGACCCAAGCAATGGATAAAATGGCCATAGAAATACTTTTTTTCTTTGCCAATTCTTCAACACGTGTGATAATCTCTTTATCTGCAGGTGGTAGGTTAGTTAAATCCCAAGCATCGATTACTCTATCCTTAACAAATCTGTCTGTCTTTGTTCCTAATGGCCTTGTTAAGATACCACGACAATTTGGAGACCAAGGTGTCAGAGCAATACCATGTTTTTTACAATATTTGTTCAAGTCACGTTCGTCCTCTCTATATAATAAGTTATAACATGATTGCATGTTCACAAACTGATACCAACCATGCTTATCTGCCATAGCTTGCATCTCGACAAATTCTGTTGGTAGCATTGAAGAAGCACCAATATATCTGACGTCACCAGCTTCAATGACATCATTCAAAGCCTTCATAGTCTCCTTAATTGGAGTATCATAATCAAATCTATGAATTTGCAAGACATCAATATAGGTTCCTAATCTTTCAACTGCTTTTTTAACACCGGCCAAGATATGTTTACGAGATAAACCTTGTTGATTGGTCAAATTTAAAGTGTAATTTTCATCGGTAGAACCTGTACGAGTCACAGCAAGTGATTCATCCATTGGGAAGAATATTTTTGTCATAATAATTACAGTTTCTCTTCTAATTTTATACATTTTTAAAAATTCACATATCAATCTTTCACTGGCACCATTTGAATATACATCAGCAGTATCAAAAGTACGTAATCCCTGATCATAACAATATTTTAATATTTTGAATATTTTTTCTTTGTCATCTTCAACCCAGGATGCCCAGTCCTTTGTACCGTACGACATACATCCTATAATAATGGGAGAGACTTTAATACCCGTATTACCAAATTTAACTTGTTTGGCCAAATTAGCAGACATGATTTGCGGGGAAACAGATATTGTTTTTGTTTAAATTAGATTGGTTAGAGCTTAAGCTATAGGTATATTACGTTAGTTTGTTAAAAGTTTCAAGTAAAAGACAAAATAAAAGGATGCCAAGAAAGAATTGATAGAGAAATTCATTTATTGAAAATGTGAAAACAACGAATAGAATACCTAAGGAAATTATTCAATTCGAAATGTATGTTATTTATAATAAATGTACTATGGGGGTGGGTTCTTATCCCCTTTATTATTGCTCGGCCGAAAATTTAAATTGATCTTTATTATATTTCCGAACTTCACCAAGTATTCGATACATAGTCGTCTTGAATAAAACACAACAGTTAAAGTGAAGTACACACATCTTGGTTTGATCACTAACACACACACCCATTTGATCCCGTTTACCAAGGTTCGTAAGATATTAACAAATGAAATATAATTACTATTATTGAGATTTAGTTAAATACCAATATACTTCGATATTCTCTTTTGGTGAACATCAAAAGAAAGAAAAAAAATCATGTGATACATAAGCAATGTTTCGGCCGAAAGAGGTTTGTTAAAGTCCGAATATATGTATATCCGATATGTCAATTCGGTATAAAATCCTTTGCTGCAATAAAAGTAAAACTTAACTAAAGGGAACTAATTTAAGAGAAAAAAAAAAGATATATTGTATTAAAATAATGTTTTTTGTTTTTATATTACTTAAATAAAATAAAATAAAATAAATAGTTGTATGTATATGCAAAATGGTTGTGAAAATGTGAGTAGAAATGAAATGAACAAATCTCAATGCTGTAAGATGCTGAAGGGTATTAATTTTTCTTTTAAGAAAAAATTAAAAAAAAGGTATGAGTTGATCGATTTCTTTAGAATCTCTTTAAAGCTTTTTGCTTCTTAGAAAAAGCTAAATAATTATTTGCATTTGCTGCCTTTAAAGGATAATAATTCTTATTTGTAGAAGTGACAGCAGGCCTTATAGATCTACTAGTAGAAGTAGAAGCGTTGTTATTATTGTTGTTGTTTATTTGTCTAGTTCTGTGTCTCTTTGAACAAGCTCTTGTTAGAAGTAATGGTCTTCTTGAAGATGTTGGTAGTGTTCTTTCATTACTTCTTGAAGAAGAACGTAGAGCCATTGAATCTTGTTCATTCTCCATTTCAATAAAGAATTTTTCAAAAGAAGATGATACAATTGAAGATCTCATCATGTTATTGTTGGTGGTAGTAGCACTCATTGTTTGTATTATTACTATTATATCGTAGTTGTAATTAGTCTTATTATATTACTATTTTGTAAGTAGTATAATTGTTTTGTACTGATTATTATTATTATTATTATTACAATTTGAAAAAGAATGAGAAACAAATTCCAATATCAAGAAGTTATGACCTTTATATACTTTTTGCCAATTCTTCTGTTTATCATTTTGATCAATTAAAAAAAAAGTAGATGATTAATAATATGCTAGCTTCAAACAGCCCCTCTGTCTCTGTGTGTGCCTGTCTCCTCACGCCCTATTAGCTCATCACTCGCTGACTAACTTTCGTATGGTACAAAATTACTATCAATTATTTCCGAGAATTTCAATAAAAGAAAAATTTCCAGGGAGAGGGGTCAGAGACATCCGCAGGAGGGTGCAATGCGCCTACTGTTTGCTTATTTTTATTGCTCCGCTCAATCAAAATTTTATTATGTAATTGTGAGATTGAGATCTTTTTTATTTTCTCCGATCCGAACTCTTGCGGACAGAAAGTGAAAAATTTTTCACTTTCTGCAAAGTTGACAACACAAGTTTGAGTCAATTGGGAAACTGTAGTTATGCATCTTAGAGAGACAAATGGGTTTTAAATTTCTCTGTCATCGACACCCAGATTATGTAAAAAATTGTGGGTGTGTGTGATTTTGAGCAGTTTGTCCGTCTTTGACCCGTTCAGTTTATTGAATTATTTGTTTTTGCGCAATAAGTGAATTTACCTCTCTCAAGATCACCCTCATATTCTCCTCACAATAGATATGCATTTTATTTGTAACGCATAATGTTTGGAATTGATAGGTAGCAGTTGTGTGTGTCTTTGTATTTTGCATACTGCGCAATTTCTCATACTTGAATGAGATTCGAGAGAGGGAATAAATAGTATTTACTTGTATGTCTTTTGTAATCAGTTATGTGTCAACCAATTTGCTTTTGTTTGTCTTTTAGCACATAGCAATTTGATTGTATGTATGTTTGTTTTCACTTGGAGTAGTAGCCTCATCTTATCTACATGCTTATCTTTTGGGGCGCTCGGTGACGGCTTAACAATTAGTACTGTTTATTCTTTTTTGGGAGTTGATCATTGAATCATTTTAATATTTTATTCATTTAGAGATTATTCGTAGTTTGATAAATTTTGAATAATTCATACATATATAGTGTTGGTGTTTGCATTTATTTATATTTTTTGGTATTCATAAAATATGTCATCTGAGCAAAATGTGGTTCAACAACAACGTAAAAGGAGAAGAATTCCAAAATCTTGTGAAGCATGTAGAGTGAAGAAATTGAAATGCGATCGTGTAAGACCAAGATGCTCTAGTTGTATAATTAGACAGATTTCAGATTGTCAATATGAAGAAGATCGAATGCTTGGTCATGGAAAGAATAGGAAGAAGAAAAATAATGATGATGATGATGATGAGGGTGATGAGGGTGATATTGAAACAAAAAACTCAGCTCCTAAGAAGAAAATTTTGTTAAATGGTGTGAGTAATTCATCTAGAGGTCATGTGAATCCTTTTGCTAGTATGGTTTATGTACATAGATGTTTACCCAAGGGAAAAATTATGGTACAAGGACCTACTTCATTAAAATCGTTTGTAGCAAATATTCATCCTCCATTTACAGAAAAATTTGAACAATTATGGAGGAAGACAGAACCTGAAAGGTTATTATGGCAAGACGAACATAAGGAAACAATTGCAAGAACTGATCCGTTGAAAAATATGAATGGACCTTTGTTAGGATCAGAGACAAGTATCTTAGAGTTATGTTCTGGTTTGCCAGATTATCAAACACTTTTGGAGAGTATGAATCAATTCTTCTCAGGAAGTCCCCTATATGATATAAGTACCATTCTCTCAAAGTCAGATACAATGGAGGCATTTCATACTTCTTTTATACCTGATGGAACAATATGGAAACTTCAAGATAGATTAGTGAAAAAAATTGGAATGCCTGTTGGTCCACATCATTACCAATTAGGTATATTATTAATGATCAATAGATTAGTTCATTGCAAAGAAAATATTGATCCCAAGATAGAAATCTTTTTGAATAATTTAGAGAATCAGAGTCAGGCAAACGGTTGCTATATTTCACAATGTCAATTCTTACTTCTGCGTTGGTATCATAGAAAAATTTATTTCACAAAGATTGATGATGTTAAATTGCTAAACCTTGTAAACCTTATAGTAGATACATCTATGAATTTAGGTTTACAACTTGATATTGAGAAAATTTATGCGGGTGATGCAAATATACAATTGTTGAAAAATATGTGGTATTGGATTCAATTTGCTGATTTAAGTATATCATTTCAATTTGGTAGACAGCTTAAGATTAGCGCAACAGTTTACAAAAATTTTCCTTATAATGATACCGAAGAATCAAGTTTTATTAAAAAATTGAATAGGTTTTTAAAGACAGTTAGAGAACCATATGATTCAATTTATGATCAAACTACAAGCCCTGATCTTCTTACTAGTTGTGAACAGATAACACATTTTTTGACTATTGAATTTCCAAATATTTCAGACTATTTTCGAAATCCATACGAATGGAAAGTTGCAGTAAGTGAATTAAGAATCTTAACTTTAGCTTTAGGTATTTTAATTGCTATGTATGGTTTAAGGTTTAAGATGATAGGAGAAAGAACACTTGAATTGAAAAACAATTTCACACAAATAACATTGATATCATTCAAACTAATAACCGATATATTAGAGCATTGTTGGCGTTATGATAATGAGTTTTTCTTAAATTTGGTGACATCTTCAAATTCATTAACACCATTTCTAACATTGGCAATTTCATTATCTGAGGGACTGTTTCAAAGAGCTCATATGAATTTTATGAGCTTGATTTACTACAAGATTACGTTGTTCAATGAAGGTTACTTCAGACCATACGATCTTCAATCGCTTGATTGGGATTTGTCAACTCTAGAAACACGTAATGATAAGAATATCACTATAAATACAGCATTTGAGCTTTACACAGGGATATTTTCCCGTTGGCGTCAACCTGCTGCGATGGTCATGAAAGGTGTATTGAAGAGGTCTTACTCATATTTCTTAATGATTCTTTTACAAAAAATAAGTAGAATGATTGTTGAAAAGGTTATCCAATTTAGACTAAAATCTGAAGAAACTGTTAGATATTCAGCAAATGTGGATGGAGCTGGGGTACCATCCCAGAACACAGAAAATTATATTACTAAAAATTCTACTTCTAATGAAACTGCTGATGGAGAGGATGTTCCCTACGATGAAAAGACATTACTAGGGACTCAATTGAATAGTCAAGTCTCAGATGAATTTTGGGGAAGTTTTAACGATTACTGGGAAGAGCTTCTAAAGAATGATTACAATCTAACCCAGGATTTTATATAGAGTTTATACTACTTTGATTATAATGATTATTAAGGATTTAGATGTATTGACAGTATTTTATGTTGTTTTATTTAGAGATAGTTCTTATTGTATATGAGTTTGTCTGTAAGCCCTAATATAAATGAGCATTTGAATTTTTTGGGCTTCACTCCCACGCGAAGAGCGAACGAGAAGAGCAAAATAAAAGAAGCACAGCGAAAAAGAAAAAATTTTCAGTTTGAAGATTTATGAAGTTGTTTTGTATATATATATATAAGAAACATTTCAATCTTAACCATAATACATAATTTACTGAAAATCATGGATAGTCTGAGTGTGCCACCTTAGCTGAAGTAGGTATGATGTACAAATAGAAGTTATCAGGTTTGTCTGTATTTAGAAGGCAATTCTACCTTTTGGTATGTCGTTAGGAGACGACAACCTCTATTTGTCACCATAATTACTTTAGGTATTTCTCAAATTTATCTTTCAACCAAAGCTTTTTGTCAGGGGACAGTTTTCGCATTTTCTTTATCCTTAACAGGTGAGAATTTACTATACAACTGTCGCTGTTACTGTTTTGGGAAATCAATATTATTCGTGATCCAATATTTCTTCGTTCTGAAGAGCCTTTTTTGGATCGTCCTAATACTATAGCTTCGTTCTGAAGTTTACATATTGTATTTGGGAAGAATAACGAAGATCTTTGATGAGTTGGAAAGAGACGTTTTGTAATGTTTTCATTGCAATATCTACACTTTCTTTTCGTAGTAAAGAGCTTTACATTTTCAAATTTTTCCTTTTTATTTAGTAAATATTTTGTATCTTTATATATTTTGTCAAGAGTACCTTGAATACTCTGAGAGTAACAGTGTTCTTAAACTATAAATTCTCCATGTTAAGAAGTAAATGAAATCTTACGATACAAACAGTTCTTAAAATTTGGTGTTGTTACTAATTAAAACGTGAAAAAATATTTTTATTAATATTAAAATTATTTAAGCGTTATATATAATTTAAAAAAGTTGTTAAAAAAATTGTGTTAAAATTAGGATTAGGATTAGGAGTAATAATAATAATATTTTTATTATTTGAAAAAATAAGTCATTAAAGTTTTTTTTGAATTAAGACGAAAAGGGAATAAAATAAAGATCATTAAGCTCATTTATTTATTAAGAAATGGTAAAAGAAAAATTTATCAATTATCTTTTCAATTACAACATTCTCTTGTACCATGGCTTATCGTCATGAGCCAAAGCATCAGCATCGTATTCAGCACCTCTCTTGGATGGTGGAACCCATTCGGCAGACTTCCATGGTAGAACACCTTCTTCCCACATGGTGTTAACTTCTTCTAGAGATAGACCCTTGGTTTCTGGAATGAAGAAGAAAACGTACAACCAGGAGAAACATAGACAACCCATGAAAACGTAACCGTAGTAGAAGTTAATGGCACCGGTGATAAATGGAGTGAAGAAACCTAATAAGAAATTCCAGAACCAGTTAGCAGCAATAGCCAAAGACATACCCTTAGCCTTGATTCTCAATGGGAAAGATTCAGAAACAATAACGTAAGCAGTTGGAGCCCAGGTAGTAGCGAAACAGAAAATGAAGAAACAAGTGAAACAAATCATACAGTTACCAGCACCCTTAGATGAGATATCTTGATGATCGGAACCTTCTGGCCATAGCTTAGTAACACCGACAGAAGCGAAAATAACGAAACAACAGATCATACCAGCGGCACCCCATAATAGACAGGTTCTTCTACCGAATCTTTCAGTTAAGTATAAAGCTGGGAAAGTAGAAGCGAAATTGACAATACCAATAACAACAGAAGTTTCGAAACCATCATTCATACCGACAGCTTGGAAAATAGTAGTACCGTAGAAGAAGAAATAGTTAGCACCAGTCAATTGTTGTAGAGTTTGAACCATAATACCCATGATAACTCTGTGTAAGATCTTACCTTCTGGGTTGAATAGTTCACCCCAAGAAGCGGAACCAGCAGCTCTTTCAGCTTCAACACCGGCAGTTAAGAATTCGACTTCAGCAATAACAGATGGATCGTCAACGGTCAATTTGTTAGATTGAGCAACAGACTTCTTAGCTTCTTCGAATTGACCAATTTCAATTAAGAAACGTGGAGATTCTGGGACGAAGAACATAGCAGCAATCATGAATAAAGCCCAAGCGAAACCTAGACCTAGAGGAACTCTCCATTGAACGGAGTTGTCGTAGTTTCTGGTACCGTAGTTAGTACAGTAACCTAAGAAAATACCTAGAGTAATCATCAATTGGTAACAAGAGACTAAAGTACCTCTGACATGCTTTGGAGAAACTTCGGAAATCAATAATGGAGAGTAGACAGCAATACCACCGACACCCATACCGGAGATAATTCTACCGATGAAGTATTGGTACCATTTGTCAATGGAAGCAATAGAAATAATTAAACCAATAACGTAAACAATGGTAACAAAGACTAAAGCCTTTCTTCTACCATAGATATCACCAAGTCTGGACCAGACTAAACCACCGATAGCACAACCAATGTTGAAAATAGCTAACATTAGACCAGTTCTGACCTTAGATAAGTAGTAAGTACCATCGTGACGTTTTTGACCGAATCTCTTTAAGAAATCAGTTTGGTTAACGAAACCGGAAATAGTACCAGTATCCCAACCGTAAACGTAACCACCGAAGGCAATCATTAAACATAAGATAGAGACGGTAACGTAAGCGGAAGCTGGCTTCTTTGGCATTTCAGCGGCAGCAATTTCACCGTCATTACCGAATTCTTTAACTTCATCATCATCATTTTTTTGAGATGGGGCAGACAAGACAGAGTTGTTTTCTGAGTTGCTGTTAGATAGGGAAGGAGACAAATTGTTAGTTTGTTGCTGTGGGTCTTGGACCTCTGCAACAGGTTCTTGATTCATTGCGATTTGATAATATATATATTATAATATGATTACAAATCGTTGAGTTGATGATGTTTTTAGTATAAATTATAAAGAAGAATATAAATAAAATACAATTGAGACAGAAGAGAAAATAATTTTTTTGATTTATTGACATTGATTGATGAGTTTATATATGTTTTCCTTTGAGAATTGATTTCACCCCACATCGAGAAAATTTCATAAACATGTCTACTCCAGAAATTAAAATTAAAATTAGTAAANAAAAAAAAAAAAAAAAAAAAAAGCAAGTTAATCCTGCAACATGCAAACTAACTGAGCAGTTTCCCCAGTTTTTCAAATTAGTTGGTTCTCCTTATCCTTATGCTTCCCCCTCTTCACCCCTCTAGGTTGCATATCATGAAAAAAGAATTGTTGATATTCAACTAAGTAAGGTTTTTTACCCATCAAAAAAGTAAAAATAACAATAAAAAAGAAAGCAACCAACATGAAGATGCAAATCGCAAGCAAAAAAAAAACAGAAGTTATTAGAAACTAAGAACAAAACCCTGTAGAATGCCGGTTTCTACTCATCCAAAAAATTGAATATTTTCCAGTAATCCATCGGATCAATAGTTTAGTAAATATTTTTCGCATAAGCACAGAAAAGAAATACACATGAAGTAACAGAAAGTTGGGAGAGATGTCCCCTTTTGGTAATTAAAGTTTGTGCTTCGTACGGTCAGCTCTCGGCCGGGACTGAGACGTGGCCGTAACACTTTTTAAAATTCGTTAGAAATTAATTTTTGTTCTCCTAAAAGAAATACAATGAAAAGAAAGAAAAGGATGTGCACCAAATCTCTCTGTGTTTAAAACTGAGGCAAGCCGTGCTTACCTCAGAAAGTGGCGTAATACTTTTGGCGAATGTGTATGTGAATTTATTATAATTTTAAAGGGCCCAGAGCCCCTTTATGAAAAGTTTTTCCAAGTGCTGCGCTTTTACTGTACCCGGAGGATATTATTCCGAAGATCCACATAGGAAAAATGTCGATACAATACGGGAGAGGAATTGGAAAAACACAAAATACAACAGTTGTGCGGGGCGGCAGGTGCGGAGTGCTATCTTCCGTGGACCCAACTACGGAAAAAAGCAGTGATTGGAGCAAAATTTGTTTTTTGTTATCGTCAAAGTAGTGATGGGGGTGACATTTATTTCGTTTAGGGTGCACGCAAACATCCCTTCCTTTCGGTGCAGAATGCTCCGTCACACAAGGAAAAGTGGTATTAATAAACATTTCAACCAAAAGAGAAAAGAAAATTATATTACCAAGCCGCATACCAATTTGCTTACTTTTTTCGTACACACACACACAGACAGCCTGTGGGGGTGGGGAAATGGACATCGCCAACGAAGCAACTTTTGTTGAAGAAAACATTTTGCTCTTTTCTAACTGTCTGTCTGCCTGCATTTCTTTTCCCACCTCCTTGCTTCTGCCCCTCCCCCGCTAGTCAACATAAGCAAACATTGAATAAGAATAAAATTTTGCACAAAGACGTTTGAAGTACTTTTGAAACTGTCTTTGTTGTCCTTTTTGCCAAATGGTGTTATGTGCTCCGAAGTATGTTATAGCCAGCGAAATTAATAATAACTACGAGAAGCATTTTGCTTTGAGATACGTTACACAATGGTGCGGGGGTGGGGAGAACAGACATAGACGTAGACTTAGGCAGATGAATTATTGAAAGGAACTGCGAGATAAGGAAAGCGAAGTAGCGAAAGAGAAAGGCGATGAAGTGTTTGTTACTTTGATGCTCTTTAATTTTTAAGAGATGCGGCTACGTGGGGTGGAACAGGAGTTGGAGAACGATGTTATTTTTGAAAAGGCAGAAGAGTGTGGGAGAGAAACTCCAGTATGCAAGCTTTAAGTTTTCTTTTATTTAATTCACGTAGATATTAATATGTGTGTTATTACCGAATCTGGACAGATTCGTAAGTCTTTAAGAACAAGGAGGTATAACATTACGGCGATGATGGAGGTGGCAGTGGCAATAGCGGCGGGGGGAGGGACAACAGTTATCCGAAAACTAAGTCGATGCATTGCTTTTTCGATCCCTCTCTACAGCGATTCTTTTAAAAAATAAACGGAGAATTGATTGAGAATTTTTATTTCTAATGTAAGACACGCGACGTGTGACATTCAAGACGCCAAATTTTTTTTTTTTGCATTCATCGCGGGGGGGGAAGAAGATAGAGAAAATAGTATGCTCGGCGGCTAACTCACAAAGCAGTAGCACCTCGCTGAAACAAAGTCAAAATATTCATTTGTTTATTCGTGCGTTTGTTTCTTGTGAGGGAAGTTGTTGCTGATCTCCTTAGAATGTTTCGTAAGTTAGTTTTCTGAAAAGCTACGCTTGTTGTTGGTGGATGTGTTGCTCCGAGGTTTGGCCATAACCGCTCCCCCACCCCCGGTATATATTCTATTCCCCACCACTTCCCCCGCCTTTATCATCGCAAACGATGTGGGGTGTTTTGGCAAGTGAATGTGGGGTTTCGTTACTAGTAGTTACTTTGTACCAATTTGCGGATTCTTGGTTTCAATGTAGCAGGTTGGGCAAACTGTTCGCTGTTCGTGCAAAAGTATACGGCCATTCTTTTTCCTTTTCCATTATCTTGTTACGCCGAGTAACGTGGCGGTATATGCAGATAACTCATACCATTGGCTGTTTCAGTTGTCTCCCACTATAGCAGAATGTGTTTGTTAGGCACGATACGCTTTTCGATGTGACAGAGAGATTGTATTCGCCTACAAGCGTGTTCTTGATATTTTTTTTTTTCGTAGTGGTATTTGTTATTCTTGCTGGTAACTTACAAGTAATGGGGTTACAACACGACTAAAAGAATTTCTTCAATAGTAAATTTCCTGATATTGATTTTGCGACATGGCGGCGACACATAATATATCCGGGTCTTTTTTGAAGAGACAAGAGTTTGGAGAGAATAAAATAATTACTCGATTTGATCAGTTTGAACTCTCTTCAGTAGATGAATCGCAGGTATTATCCCGTATCTAAGATATCATTCATATACACCAAAAACCCCTTTCAAGAAAACTCCCGAGGGAAGAAGTGGTTTATGCCGTAGTCTACTATATTATACATTCATTTATTTTTTTTGCCAGTTCACAATTACAAATAGAGACATCGTGAAGCGCCTGCCTGTTAACATAATAATCTGACGTAGATATATGAGCGTTCTATTTTGCCTTATCTCAGCAAATTCTTCTTTAATTTTAGGGTGTTGTGCCCGCAGTCAATCACATATATATTTCTCGAGCCTTGAGTTCTACTTCCTTTAGATTCCCCTCTCCCTTTGTTAGAAATTTTTTCGTATCCAACTATGGACAGCGAAGAACCTAGTACGAAATGCACCAAAATAAAAGAAATACAACATACGGAACGGAACACCCACGCACCATTTATTTAAAAAGTCCACTATGGTGTACCAGTTTTTGATCTTTTTACATTTAGCCATTGTTCATTTTAGAAAAAAAAGTACAAAATAAAGTACAATTTGGTGGCACACACTTCCATAAAAAAACATCACATTTTGGTACGGTTGCATAGACAGGCTTCAGAAACATAACAGAAACAAACACGAACATTAATTGTACTAAAAAATGTCATCAAATCTCAACCTCTTTTTATGAAACCTCCGTAGAAAGAAGGGCCCCCGAGCAACCAGTTTTGGCAAGATTTTGATGTTTTTTACTACAATAATTTTTTATAGCACGCTCTAGGACGTCGGAAACATTTTGGTAACGAAATGGAATCACAGTGCATTAGAACTGTATGTAATGCTAGCGGTGTATGGGTTTTGTAAAGGGCGCGCAATCGCTGATTTCTGGAGACGGCGAGACACATTCACACCCACACACACTCTCAACTCAGACTGAAAAAAGTAGTTTAGAACTTTTTCTTACTGGAATCTGAGGATAAAGGAAACCCGAAACGTAACAGAAACAAACCCGAACATAAACGGCACTTTTCCTGGCTAATGGTGGATGGATGGGATGGGATGGACTGTGTGTGCGTGCAGTATGGACTTCCAGCCGAGGGAGGGGAGCGGTCCATAGTAATCACAGAAATAAATGTGTCTTGGGAAGATAAGACCTCTCAAGTTGATACTAATACTTGGAATTATATAGGAAGACTAATTCACCTAACATGGGTTCGTAATTTGGTTATATCTATATGAAACTGATAACTTGTTTCTTAATTAAGTAGCCGCTACATAAAGAGACACTGTTTCGATGGCAATAAGTCGATCAGGTAAAAACGAACTGTTGCATAGACTATTTAGATCCACATTACACTGCTCAGCCAATGCATATTTTGCTAATTGTCAAACAAGATCTTGATCTGCGATACCACATGTTTGCATTTATTAAAATAAGGACTACGAAGTAATAAAATTAATTTTTTAGTTTATACAAAAATTTCAAGTAACTTGTCTCAGAACTTGAGCTGGAGCTCGAACCTAAATAACTAACTTATTATTTGGTTTATTTTCAAGAACATATAGAGAAACCTACAATGTAAGACGGAACTAAATTGATTCCGTGTTGTACCAAGTAATTTTTATGACTTGAACATTCATAGCTCTATGTATAACAAGGTCATTTACATTCACCAAGATAGAAAAGTTCATAATAGAGAAACTCGATTATTTTCTATCAAAGCAGGCTGTATATGTCTTATAAAGTTAATATATATATATATATGTTTTATATTGACAACTATCGGTTCAACCGTTATGGAAATTAAATGTTGGCTTAATCTGTGACACATTTATTATAGCCAAATTAGTTCCGCGGGACGAAAAAAGTAACAGTCTTTAGAGCGTACAACCGACGAGGTTCGCATAGCGTTCACTCAATAAAGGGGATCTGCAATTGTTACTCCACTCTAAGATTACGTAATGAAATAATAGTGTGCATTCGAAAGGAAAACTATAAAAACAAAAGAGTCGGAATTCATTTTCTGCTAACAAATAGATAGTTAAACTCCAAAGATCAAAAACAACTAACAATGTCTCTATCTATCAACGCCAAGCAATGGGTACTAAAAACACAAACCGAACCCGGTCACCCATTCAATATGGATCTATCAAGTCCTGAAGCCTCGTTTGAGCTCAAAGAAGTAACATTAAAAGAAGACTCCCTTCAAGATGGTGATATTCTTATTGAGACCATTTATTTATCTAACGATCCAGCTCAAAAGTTCTGGATCATCTCAGCTGATAAAAATTATGCTGCTGGGGTGGCTCCTGGTGAACCAATCCCTGCCAGAGGGCTTGGTAAAGTTCTCGCCTCGAAGAATACGAACTTCCCCGTAGGTGCCTTAATATCAGCCCAAACAAACTGGTCTACTCACACTATTATTCGTAAAGAACAATTGGGTGTTGCTCGTGTTTTACCAATGGAAGGTGTTGAACAACTATGGTGGTACTTATCTGTCCTGGGTGGTACAGCAGTAACTGCATATTTTATCTTCTATAGATATGCTGATTTACAAGATTGTAACCCTGAATCTCATGGTAAAACATTTTTGATCTCAGGTGCGGCTGGTGCAGTTGGCTCTATGTGTGTTCAAATTGCAGCTAATGTATTTAAGGCAAAGAAGATTATTGCCATTGCTGGCGGACCTCAAAAGGTTAAATTTGTTGAGTCACTAGCTCCTTCCGTTGTTGTTGGTGTTGATTATAAGGATCCAAAGTTCAATGAGAATCTATTGGAAGCCGCTGGTGGAGAGAATACAGTTGATTACTTCATTGATAATGTTGGTGGAAAAATCCTTGATTTAGGTTGTAATTTGATGAAACCACTGTCTACTATTGTAGCTTGTGGTTCAATCAGTGGGTATAATGATCCCTCTCAATTAGTTTTCAAAAACTATGTGAGTGTCATTACTAAAAGATTGACTCTAAGGGGTTTATTATTAATGGACAACTATGACAAATTCCCGGAGGCTTATTCTCATTTGACACAATGGATTAAAGATGGTAAAATCGATAAGACAACTTCTGCAACCATTGTTGACGCTACAAATGATAAGTTTGTTAATGTTCCAACTATATGGGATGGATTATTCCACGGTAAGAATACAGGTAAGTTAATTACTAAAGTTAATGAAGAATGAGTATTTAGATGGTATAAATTTTAGATTAAATTAGCTAAATATAACTTTGTAACGGTATATAGTTTTACAAATGTTCTGATTCAATTATTTTTTTTTTGAAGGAATTTAATATTTTGTTTGATTTTGTCAACTGTTAAGAAACGTGCAAACTGCACCATCCGAGTAAACAAAAAATCGAAAGTGATAAAAATTCAGATAATGAAAACCTTAGTATTATAAAACAACAAATATAATTAAACTATATGCATTTTTTATTTATTTATTACAAATATTTGGCTTTCTTTATATATTGCTGAGTACTAAAAGTATAGTATATCATAACACATAGTATTACAGCAACTGGAATTAAGATAATTTTCAAATTTGAGATTACATCATCGATATGAGTATCATGTAAACCAAATTCACCAACTTTCTTAGTGGTTTCTCTAATCCTTTCTTGTTCTTCTAGTAGGCTCTCCAAATTACTATTAATCTTCAAAAAATCTTTAAATTCGCTCTTATCCTTTGTAATTTGATCCTTAGAAGAATCATCTTCTTCAGATAAAGTACTTAAGAAATGATCCATAAATTTCATTAAACCTTCTTGAGTTTGAATAATAGAATCTAATCTTTGATCTAGAGGTCGAATATCATTAACAAGTATATTTCCTTCTACTTTATTTAATTTCTGGAATAAATCATAATTACTGAATTCATCATTTTTTTCAGCATCAAATTTCTTTTTGTCAATTAATTTTGTCTCTCCAGTCTTACTGTTTGTCATTTGAGTAACAATTTGAGGTTGTGGCATTGATTTAATATTTGGAATCTTTGATGCTTCATTAGCCTTACTAAAAGCATTAAATTTTAAAATTTCAAATGATTCTTTGTTATTTTCACCATTATCGGCAGTAACACCAATTTTGAAATTAGCCTTTGATCCAGCTCCAACAAGTTTCACTTTTCTAGTTTGGAAACAAATTTGATTATTAATTTGTACTTTTAATAAATGATTATCATTAATATCATAAGTGACCCTTAAAGTTGATGGAACAGATGCGTCTTGATAACCAATTAAACATGATCCAAAAGTATTTTCATCCATGGAGGCCTTTGTTAGTTGGTTAGACCCATCACTCAATTGTGCACGTAATGCTTCACCATAGGGACCAGATCTATCAATCAATAGTTGCAACCCAATAAATTGTGAAGGTCCATCATACAGTGTCTTATCATTTTTTTTTAAGTTTGCACTATCTATAATCCAAAAGGAAAGTCCACCAGAGGAAAATCCACGATAGTCAAAACTTCTAAAAGTCCATTCCAGGGAAAAAGATCCATCCATTTCAAAAGGTGCTTTTAACCATAAGCCACCTTTTGAATTTGCCTTTGGTGTTAGAATGATTCTACCTTCATTCAAAGTTGTAGATCCATCAGTTGTAAAAGTTGATGGAATTGAACCTAACTTATAAATCTGTGGCATAGACATTTCATTTAAAAGTAAATCGTTATTTTTAGTCGGTATTACATGACCATTAACTATCTGTGAGTTAAACCATAAGGGTACGGCCAGTAGTGCAATCCAAAATGTTCTAAACATTGGGGGCAACAGGAAGAAAACTATTGAATAGAAGTGACGATACACACACACACTAGGATGTTAAAAATATATAGTTACTTCACAAACTTTTTTTTCCCTTTGCTAATTTTTGTTCATTTCTACAATTTTTTCTTATATACGTAATTTACGATCTATTAATATTTCAAGGAAATTACTTAATTGTCTTCAGGCGTAAAGCGAGTTGGTTTTAAAACCAAAAAAAAGACTTCAATAGAATCAATCACCTGCGACGAGTATCCAGATACTACTACTAATAAATGAAAATGAATAAATAATGAATATGATATAATAATGATGATGATACTTAATGTTATTTAATTATTTGTAAATTATGTGACTAAAGTAAGGGGGATCAATCCTACACATACAAATGTATATGTACGAACATGAGTAGGATTGAAATGCAAAAAAACAGTAAAATGGTTAATAAAAAGTTTTAAAAAACACCAACAACGATAAATTCTTTTCATATATCTAAATCGACATCGCTTCTATCTTCAGAGTATAATTGATCTTCGAATAGCATTTTTGGTTTTAATTTTTGGGAATTTTTAGAGAGTCTTCTTTGTTTAACTTTTTCACCTTTCTTATTTACGTAAGTGATATATTTATCCAAGTCAGGATCTTCTTCTAATAATTGCATTCTTCTTAGTACACGAGTTTCCTTCGAAGGTACACCCTTCGACATGAATGGATTTTCTATTGTCTCTTTTGATATAAATTCAGATTCATTATCAGAATCATTTGTAATTTCGTTATAATCTTTATTATACCATTCTTTAGATAACTCAAAATTTGTTATCTTCTCATTTGGCGTATTAAAAGTTTCCGTTATATTTGATTGTTTTGGAGTACTTGGTGGTAACAAAATTCCTGGTACATTTAATTTTTTTCTTGCTGGTTCATTATCATTTTGTTGTACCAAATCATTTGCTGGAAATAATACTCTACTGACACTATGTAAAGTATCTTTTTTACCTGTAATTGAGGATCTTCTCATTGGTGTATATTCTGGTGATTTTAATCCATTAAAGGGTGAATTAATTGCAGTTTTCATATTTTCTTGAGGTGGTTGTAAAAATGGTCCATTTTTAAATACTAATTTACCATTATTCTGAGATGATAGTTGATTGCGAACATTTAATGATCCATTTTTATGTACTGTTGAAGGTGTTACTGGGCCTGCCAGTTCATCTCTTTTATTTGGTGTTGATGGAAATAATAATTGTTTCTTTGGTAAATCTTCTGTAGGTTCAACATTCGACCATCTTGACCTTGGTGGTGTTGCTGGATTATTAATACTTTTATTATTGTTGATATTATTCATGGCAAATAAAATAGAGACACACTGTATTTACTTGTAGTGATGATGTTATATCGATAAAGGTGACTGGTCTATATATATATATGTGTAAAAATTAATAGCTGGGACAGCGACAAATGGAATTTTCTTTCTAACAAAAATAAAGATACGCCGTTGATGGACTTATTCTTAACGTTACCATATATTCTCAACCTGAGTAGCACCACCTGTATATATATATATATTATAATTAAATATTGAAATGACTGGGTCCCTGAGTTGCAAATTGGTTCTTCTTTCCCCCTTTAGAAAGCCCAGCAAAAAATAAAAAAAAATTGTTCGCGACGTTTTTTCGGTTTTGGCAGGCAGGAAAACCCAGCCAGTTCGTTTTTTTTCTGTTTTTGGCGTCTTTTTGGTGATGTCGACGACGCGCCTCGTGTCGTGCTGTACGGCGCTGAAATTGTTTCCTTTCTGATCTCAGAAACAATTTCACAATATATAGATAGAGCCATTCAATTCTTAAAAAGGGCTGAAAAGGCCATTGAGGTGAATGAGTTAGAAGTTAATGGATTAAGAGAGGGTGCTTTTGATTAGTGGTGAGCAACGATGGTATGTATTTTGGGAAGTTTGGTCTAGTTTAATTTTTTTCTTTTACTAACATGAATTTTTGGTTAAGAATGCTTTATATAATCACGCCGTGAAACAAAAGGGTCAATTACAAAAAGATCTTAATAGATTTGAGAAGAACCCACAAACTGCACCAATATCGTTGCAGGGATCAATTTCTGCTACATTAGTCTCCTTCGAAAAGACTATAAATCAATATTCTGACTATTTAAATAATCAACCAATTCTAAATGATCAAGAAGATAATATAAATAAAGAGAAAAATCTGAGTCGATTAGTTTCTTTAAGGGAAGAATTGGACAGATTCCAAATAAGTTTCAAAGATTTGAAAAAATTATATAATGAAGCAAATTCAACTAAAAATCAGAGAAACCAATTATTTGGTTCAACAACAACTTCAGAAAATCCTTATAATGATATGGATACTGTAATGAGTCAAAGAAAGACAACTTCCTCAATTTCAACTCATGAACAACAACAGCAAAATAGTAATAGATCTTATTTGGATGGTTTACAAAATGAAAATTCTGTATTTCAAAGAGGGAATTCACAATTAGACTATATTTTAGAGATGGGTCAAAATTCTCTCAATGATATTATAGAACAAAATCATATTTTAGATACAGTTCAAGACAAATTAACGAAATCTTTAAGGACATTAAATGTGTCAGAAGGCACTATTCAATCCGTTAATAGTCGTCTGTTTAAAGATAAACTTATCTTTTGGGTGGGATTGTTTCTAATGTTTTTAGGAATGTATTTAGTATTGAAATGGTTAAGATAGATAGATAGATTATATAAGTATATATATTTAGAAATGGAAAAAAAAAATGAATTTCTCTATTAACATGAATGTTGATTACTGTTTTATTTACTACTATTTACTTTTCCAGTACATACAACTGGAATTTTTACCAATACTTATACTTTGTCTTGTTGTATCGATCTGAAGTGTTGGTAATTTATTTAAATCTTCATCTTCTTGATATTGTTTTCCTGGTTCAATCAATAATGGTAACCTTTCAGGTTTATTAAATTTAAATTTATTTTTTTGCCAATTACCAATTTGTCCAACATTATTTAATCCCCAACTTTCAATATTACCATTATTCATTTCACATATAATATGATTAGAATTTTTATTACCAATCCATTTTTCAATTAATCCATCAATTTTAATCCTTTGTGGTTGAAATTGTGAATTTCTATAGGATCCATCACCTAATTCACCATTTGATCCATTACCCATTGAAAAATGTTTTTGTTCACCAATTGAATTTGCTATACTCATATATGTAGTTTCTTTAGCACAACAAATATCAACACATTTTAAATCAAATTTTAAACCCATTGATGGCAAAATACGTGTTGTGGTTTCGCTATCGTTTTGATCTTTTCTTTCACTTCTTGATGGATTATCATTAAAAAATGGAATAAATCCAGTCATTGATAATTGTTTTGGATATGGTATTATTTCATTCTCATAAGAAATATTGAATCCTAATTGACCAAATCTATTCCAACCAAATGTGAAAAAATGACCTTCAGAATCTATTGCAACAGTATGATAATCACCACATGCAATTTTAACAATCTTTCTAAAATTTATATCTTGATTCTGAGTGGAAAATGATTTATTTAACAATTCAATTTCATAAAGTTCATTTAAATTAGGATATTTAGAATATTGAGAAAGAGTTGGTATACCAAATTGACCTCTAGATTTTTCTTCTATGGGTTTAGATTCATCGTTAGTGAGACCTGTCGAACATGAATATGCTTTAGACGCATTAGATAATAAGACTAAATGATTAGATCCAGTATCAAAATCAATAATTCTTTTCTCCCCTATCCTTTTATCAAATTTTTTACTCGTATCAATCTTTAAACCGTACGTCTTATATTCATTTATTTTACTTAATTTTGGTAAAAATCCTACCCTTTTATGACTCTCAAAATATTGAGATAACGAATCCATGTTTTCTAATGGTATCATTAATATTTCACCTTTATCATTTAATCCATATATTATATCATTAGATTCTTTAATCTTAGTTAATTTTTGACCCATTAAAATATTTATTATTTCATTGTTATCTTGATCCCATTTCAATAAATTACCTTCGTTATCAATGACTAGATTCATCTTTCTATTAATTAAACAAACATCTCTAAGAGTCATTCCATCAAATTGTGTAACTCTCTTTGGGATAGATGCCCATTCAGTATCATTTGTACATTCACCCCAAATATATAAACCAGGTTCACTTGAATCTAATTGATCTAATGGTATAAAGGGTTTAACTTTAGATAATTTACCATTTTTCTTCTTCTTTTTACTCTTCTTTTTCATCGTACCATCACTGATGGAAGCCCATTCAATTTCTTCTAATAATTTATTTTCTCTTTGTTTCTTATCATAAATATAATATGAACCTGTCATTGTTAACCCTAATAAAGTAACAAAAATTAAACTACCATTTTGTAATTTCTTCATCCTTTGTAAAGTAAGTTCTTTAGCACTATCAGGTGCATCTTCATTACTTAAAAATGGCAAATTAACTCTTTTACTCTTAAATTCTTTATTATTAATTCCTTTCGCCAGAATCTCTGCATCATCATATTTTGGTTCATTGATCAAAGTTCTTATAAAGATCCGTTGATGAGTAATAATTGGAACAAATTTACTACTTATTTGAACTGTACGGTTCCTAACAAGTTTCAACATTTCTTAATCTTTTTCTAACTTGGAGCCTTCACAAACTTTCGCAGCAAGTAAGAGGTTCCCCTTGATGTACACATATTTCAAGCCCTTCTCTAATTAAGCGACTGTAACAATATATAGTCCGTCGAATTTAAAACAGAACAAATAAGAAATCAAACTATTTTTTTTTTTTAAAAAAAGGCTAAAGCCATCAAATCATATTATTGAATAAAAAATTATATATATTTAAATATTTGAAGATTAAATTATTAAAATGAGTTTGTGATTTAAGCTTGGTTGGTGAAGTATTCTGGGAATTCTCTGTAGTTAGCTTCTAGAGAACCCTTCTTAGACAAGAACTTAACGAAAGCACCGTCATCCTTAACTTCACCGGCATCTCTTCTCTTGACGTATTCGGCTCTGTTCAAGTTAGTGAAACCCCACTTCTTGGAGATAATAATCTTTTGTTGACCTGGGAACTTGTATCTAGCTCTTCTTAGACCTTCAATAACGACGTCCTTGTTAGTGTCCTTGGTTCTGACGGAGAAGATAATTTGACCAATATCAACTCTAGCGGCTAAACCGTGAGGCTTACCCCAAGCACCTCTCATACCTTGTTGCAGTCTATCGGCACCGGCACAGGAAAGCATCTTGTTGATTCTTAGAACGTGGAAAGGATGAACTCTGACTCTCAAGTGGAAAGATTCTCTACCAGAGATAGTGGTAATGTACTTGTTAGCACAAATACGGGCAGCTTCTAAAGCTTCAGAGGATAATTGTTCCAATTCGTTAGAAACTAAATGGACACATAATGGAAATTCATCGACAGTAGCCTTCTTCTTACCTAAATCGTAGATTCTGATCTTAGAGTCTGGAACAGCTCTGTTGTATCTAGACTTTGGGTAAGGCTTGTTCTTTTGGTATCTGTAACATCTAGCTGGTCTTCTAGCCATTTTGATTGATTTAATATGTTAGTGATGGTTTCTTTTAAATGTTAAATTTAAAGAATAAAGAGTATGTTAAATATAATCGGAGTGATTGAAATATTAAAGAACGTAAAATACTTCAACGTTTATATACAACGCCACCAAGATTACAAAAATTAAATGAAAATGAGAACATCAAAACTCATTTGGCAAGCAGCTTCTTTCCCATTACCTAATGGATTGATAGTTATCATCCATCAAAGAGGACAGAAAAAATTCCTTCAAGGTTTGGTGTTATTATTACTAATTGAAAGAAATGACTTGATTTTTGCGTGTAAAACGGTTTAAGTTCCGTGTTCCCGTGTCTTCTCCGTTTAGTGTTTGTTATATGTGATGCAGAGAAAACCCCGCACGAAACGATGGAAAAAGGTTCCGAGTGGATCCAAAAAATGTATTTTTTCTGTTCCGAAAATGTATTTTTTTAAAAACAAAAACGTCCCAGTGGGTGCAAGGATGTGTTGAATAACTGTGGGTGTACTGGTGCAAATTAAAACAAGTCATATAAATATCACGTGACTCTGAAAATTTTTTTTTTGAAAAAGAAAAAATTTTGGAAAAAGTTTCTCATCTCATCTCATCTCATCTCATAAAAACAGAATAGATATGAACTTTGAAGATGACTTCATAAAAGAGGAGCTACGTTATTGATATTTAACTTGGTTTTTATAAACTATTAATATAAACAGCAAAGTAACAACTAGATTGTTTTTTTTTAGTACCAGTTAAGAGAAATGGGTAGATATTCCGTGAAAAGATACAAGACTAAACGTAGAACGAAAGATCTGGATTTAATTTATGATGATCTATCTTCTCAGGATAAGATACAGAAATTATTAAACCAACCATTAGATGAAACTAAACCAGGTCTAGGACAACATTATTGTATTCATTGTGCAAAATATTGTGAAACTGCCATGGCTTTAAAAACACATTTGAAAACAAAAGTTCATAAGAGAAGAGTTAAAGAATTAAAAGGTGTACCATATACCCAAGATGTAGCAAATGCAGCTGCAGGTTTAAATTTGAATAAGTTTTTAAATAGAGTAGAGCAAATTAAGAATAGTGTAGGACCTTCAAAGGAAAATAATGAAGTTTTATTAAAGGACCATTTAGATGTCACATTAAAAGATATTAAATCTACTGAACCAACTTTACCTTGGGCTGAACAACAACAACAAATTGAAAGCGGTACTGAAAATAATCAACAACAACAACAACAAGTTGAAAATACTACAACTGGTACATTTATGGGATAAACTTATTTTTTTCTCCTTACCATTTTGAGACGATATTCCCACAATTTCTTCCTTAATTATATTATTAAAATGTTTTTTTCTCCTTTTTGATACATAATCAATAACTATATATACATATATATATATAAAATGCATACACAATTATCCATACCTTTATATTTCGGTTCTGTAATCTTCATTTTTGTAAAATAAAAATATACGGTACGTAATTGAAAATATTTCATTTCGTCTCTATATAATTTTATTTTCTCTTGATATGTATTTATTTTAAGCTTGTCCAAAATCTGTATGTCCCGTACTTTCTGCATGTTTCGATATTTCTCTTTCACCAACAAATGTCTTATGACATATATTACAAATGATATTAGCTTTTTGAGAATTGAAAGATTTGCCTCCCTTTTTCATCTTTGAAGCAATTTCTAAAGAACAAGCAAGAACCATTTGACATAATGCTTCATCTGTTCTAACATTAAATACTGTCTTCTTTGTTGTCGATTCAATAGCATCATAATGAACACCACTAAATAAAATAATAATAAACTCATCATATTTATCCTCATTGAATTTTTCAAATTTTAATGCATCGATATCCAAAACGTATACAGCCACACCTAATACTTTAGAGAGAATCGCAATCTCAATACCACCACCCCATGAATCTTTTTGAAGAATCCAGTTCATATACGATTGTGGCGATTTACCAAGTATCGCTTCATTATACGTATCTTTATCTTGCATAATTTCCTTGGCTACACGTTCTCGTAGACCCTTTGAAAGAGATATATCCTTATACATACAATACGATATCGCATGAAATAAACATGAATTATCATCAGGAACAACATGTTGTTGTAAAACCCATTTAGTTCCATCATTAGCAACAAATGAACTTTGGCTGTCCTTTAATGTAGCCTCTATATTATTCTGCTTATTCTGCTCAGGAATAATACTCCCATTACCATTATCTCTTAATGTCACTCCAATTTTCTCACCCGAAGATAAACCAATATCTTCTAATAATTTGACAATACTATCGTCGTTTATCTCAACACTCTGTGGTGGATAACCAAACCTAATAGATATAACATTATCCATATCTATACCAAATGTATCTGCTATCTCTTGTAATAATTCGCCAACCAACTTGTCATTACCCTCAATGGAAACCACTTTGTCCCCTTTACCAGTAACATTCACTTTAAATCTCATATCCGTTTTTGTATTTATATATTCTTATTCTGTATGATGTATCCTTTCTCCTATTGTTACACTTTGATATATACGTCAAAGTATTTTCTTTAAGGTGCCAAAATTTTAACACCCTTTAAAAAAATCGTAGAAGCTCCTATATTAGGTGATGCCCTTCATTAAACGAGTTTTTAAAAAAACAAACATTACTATATAAAAATTACTGTAAAAAGATGTTTTGAGAGCAAATATATAAGGATGTGACTCCATTACTTGAAATATTGTATTTAAAGAAGTTTAATAGTTGGAAAATTCCTTATTCATCCACTTCATGCGATGCAAGTAATTTCATTAGCTTGTCGAGGATTTTTCCTGATAACTCAGATGAATCTTTAATCCTTTGAGAATTCGGAGTAATACCTAGTAAAGATCTTAATGATTGTAAAGAGATATGCTGTTGATTGTGGGATTTTAAAATATCGTTCCTAACAGGTGTCTCAAATAATGTATCTGGGGTAGTATTGATTCCATCGGTACTATACAGTTGAAATTCAATTAATTTGTTCATTTTACTGTTTATACTCCATAAGGCATACAGCAACATTAAAAACAACATAATGTTTATTGAAAAGAGTACCATGACTGCAGAAGGGTTGGTAAATATTGACTTTGGAACTCTAGTTGGTTCATTATTTTGCGAAGTCGCTACGCTCTCCTCAAGGTTTGTAGTGCTAGTATTGGATATCCAAGGAGAATTTTCTTTTGATTTTGATGTTGAAATAGTCTTATCAACCATCATATAATCAACAATTGTATGTTTTTCAACAAAATTTTCAATTAGGTTAATAAAATCTATCGTTGAGGAGATTAACCCACTTTTACAACTAGATTCTACCATATTTTTAATCCATGACGAACCTGTCCATTCTACCCAAAACGATAACCGAAGTTTACACCTTGTCGATTCATGCCATTGAATGATATACCTTGTCTTCGTTGAAAAATTTGTTCCGCTAGGTACGTTTGGTGTTCTTGTTGTATTAATCAATTCAATGTAATCATTAACATCATAATGCACTATTTGTTCCTCAACATTGCATTTCGTAGTGCTTGGTCCAACAGGAAAATGTAGTTGTTTCTGATAGGAATATTCTCTAGTTTTCAAACCGGAATCATTTATTTCAAATTTACCAATATCAGTAAAATTGGATGAATCTTGTTTCGTCAAGAACTCTTGTAAAAATGTTGGTTTAGTTTCATTAAACAAGAAATCAAAGAGCATCCCAGGTGGGCATGAGAGTTCGATATCAGCCAAGGAATATTCATCTACCGACCTTGTTGGGATCTTAGTTGTATGCTTTGAATTGTTGTAAAATGGTCCCGTATAATCCATTACCGAGAAATTAGAAGCTTTATCGTTTAACTTATATATAGGGACTTTAATGTCTGCTAGAACACTTTCATCATCGTCATCACCTTCTACAGACATTGCGCTAGAGGTAGATGAAGTTTCATCAATAGATCTTATTATATCCTCAATATCTTCATCGTCATTCCTGATATTATTTGTGGCTTCAAGACTTGTTAAAAGATTGATACTAGATTTTCCAATTGGATTAGTCTCTGCACCAGCTACAATTGAAGATTTCTGGGTTACAGGCGGATTTAATCCAATTGAATAGTTCAATAGATCAGTTCCCCTCTTATTAACCCCCTTTTCAAACAATGGTTTAACCTCTTTTTTTTTATTATTATTCATAATCTTCATCAAAATTTGGAAAGCGGCTTCTAAGTTCTGGAAACCATTAAACCGTGTCATGCCAAGGGACGTCTCTACACATATTTCATCATTATGCATTGAATCCTGGGAATTTTTAGTTAATGACCTTATCTCTCTTACAGGTATCTGTATTTGAGCCAACCAATCCAATACTGTCGAATTAAAACATAAATGATCTTCAGTAGCATAAAGTTTACCCTTATAGGGATAATTTCTATTTAAATTACAATCCAAAACCCGTATAAGCTTCTCTTGGACTGGTATCAGTTTAAATAATGTATGAAAATCTCTATTATCTGTAGGTGAAGCATATATAAACCCTGTAGAAGACACATCTGAATTTTCATCAATTTCTGAATCCTTTGTCAATTTATTGAAGTTAAACGAGGACATAATATTATCAAAAAATGATGAATTAGTTTCACTTAAGGACCTAATATCCCTATTTTTTAACGGCGAACCAATGGGAGTAACAGTATTTGTAGATATTGCCACAGCCTTCAAATCATTTATAGAATCATTAGCAGGATCATTAGCAATCATTGACACTGATGTAATATCTGATACTTGAGGGTCTGCAGGTGTAGACTTCATGTATCGAGGCATCGATAAATCTATAGAAGGATCAGACCCTCTTTTTCTATGGAGTTGACCCCATTGCATTGTCTGTGAATGAATACTTACTTTACTAGAAGTTGTTCCGTCATGAGATCTCTCACTATGATCTCGTTTATTGGAGTTACCGACTTGTAACGGCAAGAAATCCCCATTACCACAGTTTAAATCTTCCTTAGACATCTTCCTTATGTGTGAATAAACAATGTAAACCTCAAACACTACTCACTTGTTCTAAAAGATTGGTCAACCCCCCAACTCTTAAAATTTGACTTACTCGTTTAAAATGGTTAATCACCCTTATATATGTCACATTCATCAATAGATTTAATATTTCACTGCATGTTACCCGCATAGTCATTTTTTCCCTGTTTTCCACTATTTTTTCAAGTCTTGGACGGCTCGCTAATAACATTATAGATTAGCTAAGTTAGCATATTAAAACAAAGAGTTATAAATAGTGAGAATTACATGCTTTAATTGAGGAAAGTTGATTCAAACCAGGTATTAACCGATTGAGACGACTGTTAGACTTAAGTGGGTGTGTTGCACGAACAGTTTACTTGGCTTTTTATTTTTTTTTTTACCCAATTTATTGTTTTCACTGCGTTCGACATAAAAAAAGAATTTGAAAACTTCAATTTCCAATAAAAGGTTATATTACATTTCAATTTATTTTGATCTAAAAACTAATATTTGAAACGAGAAATTTTATAAATTAAAGAGCTACAAAGTTACTAGCAGTTACAATGAGCAGTGCAGACGTGGATTCTACTGGGGTAATGATCGGTAGAGATGCGTTAACGAACGGAATACATGATCCAACGACTAATGATGAGACAATAACAAATGTCTCGACAGTAGAGAGTCATTCGGTGAACTCGGAGTTTACTGGGAATAATATCAATAGTACTGATACTAATACCACAACAACAGGCTCGAAACTACATACTGTGTTTCATGATGGCCTGGCTCCCGAGATCCCACATGTTCAAATTAACCAAACACCATTATCGATGGTCATTAGAAATTTGACAATTTTTACAATTAAAGAAATATCACAATATATGAAAATGAATCTTCATAGAACAAATAATGGTGGTCCAGGCAATAATAATAATAATAATGGATCCTCAGTGAAGAAAGTAAATTTTTTGCAATTGGTAATATATTTGAGAAATCAATTTTTGAAACTGTATGTATTGATTAAATGGGCTAGGACAATCAAGAGTAATAATTTCAATGCACTTATTGATTTATTAAATTGGTTCAGAACAACAAATACATCTGTGAATAATTGTATATGGGCTCTAAAGGCCAGTTTAGATTCAATGACTAATGCAAAATTACCTAATGCCGACCTAATCACAGCTTTGGAGGTCTTAAGTCTTGGAAGACCTAACTTACCATCACATTTCCTTAACATTACTGCGGCTGGTGGAATGAGTAATAGAGATAATGATTCTACTGTTCCACCAAAAGTTGTCCTAAAAGTTCTAAGAGATTTGAACTTTGTTGTATCAATTAAAATGGCGTTGATGGATTTACCACCTCAATTTAATGATTATTATGTTAAAAATGGTCGTGTTTATATCAGTGTCACTAACGAATTCGAAATTCAATTATCTACTATTGATCGCAACTCACCATTTTTTTTCGTTGATTTGAATTTCTTATTTAGAACAGAACAAAGTCTACCATTAAATAAAGCAAGAGTAGAAAAATTAATCAACGATCTATTGTTTAAGAATAAAGAAAGAAAACCTTTGTTTTTGTTATATCAGTTCCTACACAAGTACATTTTAACGTTGAAATTATATATGATTCATATTGAACTACAAGCATTAGAAAATGTAGGGAAATTCTCAGGCGGTAACTTAATTCACATTTATGATTCCAAGAAAAGTATTATCTCTGGTAGATATTGGATTAATGGGAAGATAGGTAACAAAGGTAAATTCACCATTGGGGTGGACAAGAGCACTGAGAAACTGATCTTAAGATGGGATAATGATTTTACATCCGAGGCATTTAGAACATCTGAAGATAAACTTCATCAAAATGGGAATGAAATTAATCAAACAGAGACAAATATTAACACCACTGAGAAACAGGATGACAATAATAATAATCACCATACCATACATGATAAATTTAACAATATGCCTATAATATATAACCACATTCTTGGTAATGTTGAAAGTATTCTGGATGAAATTATGTTCAATCATGCAAATGTAATCAGAATGAAACTTTTATCCACAGGAATATTCCAAGAAGATGAAGGTAATTCAGACGTATTATTATTCCAATTACCAACAACTTGTATATCGACGGCTCCTATTCAAATGAAGATAGATCTCATCACAGGTGTGTTTTATTTTAAGAACCCCTCACCATTGTTACTAGAATATATTCAACAAATTAATAGAACTGAGAAAACCGAAGATTTGATTAAAATCTTACAAAAATTAAAATTAGACAAGATTACACACGTCCTACGGAATATGTTCGAAAAGACAGGCTGGATTTGCAGTAAAGTGGTAAAATTAGATACACTAATCCCAACACAATTTAAAACCCAATCTCATGGAAGTGACTTACTTCAAAATGATTTATTTATCTCACTGCCTAAGTGGCCTGTCAATTGGTATCTGATCCTTACAGTGATATCATCTAACTCCTCTTGTGTTATTGAGAAACGTATTGGTAAGATTTTATCCAGTAAAGGTAAATGGGAATTAAAATATTTAGATATGTCCAGTATTGTATCTTCGAAATTGGAGACAATGACTTATCAAAAGATAATGTCTCTTCAGAAGACTATTTTACATAGAATTGTTAATCACATGCTAATTGATTCATTAAATGAATTGAAGATCAAAAACCAAATTTGTTCCGCAGAAAGTATAGCGATGAACTTACCCAAGTATGTTACCGAGGACGATTCATTTGACAAAGATAAAAATTCGACTGGAATTATTGGGCCTCAGGAAGATGAATACACTTCTATCATAACGATGGAATTGGTATCCTTTCTAGAAGGTTCAAATGCATTAAACAGTATCCTGGAAAGCTCCATGTTTATGAGGATTGATTATACAAATTCAGAAATTAGGTTGTACACTAGATTTAAAAGAGATATAATGATCAAGCAAGTACAATGTGAAGAACTACTAATACATTTTGTTAAAGATGATAACTTGGCCTTCTATATGTGTGAAAATTTTAAATCTTTGGGCCAAATTGTGCATTACCTAAGCACATTTAGACAGAAATTAATGCAATTAGTTATTTTAACTGATGTTGTCGAGAGATTGCACAAGAATTTCGCATCTGATAACTTTAAAATTATTGCATTGAAACCAAATGAAATTTCATTTAATTATCTTAAAAACAATGCTCCTGCTATGTTACAGGATAAAAAGGACAAACGAGATTGTACAATTAATATAATAACAAGTGATATGAAAGTGAAAAACTTGACAGTAAATTTGTCAAAGACAAACCCACAACACATAATACAACCTTTTATTAACAACGGAAGTTATGATTATCATTTTATCTTTAATTACTTGCAGTTTACATCATCTCTCTTTACAACCCTGAGAGATATCATAAACGAAAGACAAGAGAATAAGGATAACAGTTACACTAAAGTGAGTCTTGGTTTACATAATCTAAGCGAGTATCAGTTGGTGTATCATAATGCTGAGGTTGGTACAAAGATTACATTAATAATAGAGTTAAAGAATGCTTCCCATAATGGTAGGAATAATATCCAATTTTATGTGCATTTCTCTAACGATGAACACATTACAACAAAATCTGCTGCATATCCAATGATCCATCGTGTTCGCAATGAGATTTTTATCTTAGATACTAAAGCGAACAGCTCATTAACAGATCCAGAACCGAAAACTTCTCCTACCAGCACCGAAGGTGTCTCTACGGCATTGAGAAAGTTTCCACATTCCATTAGATTAGTGGACGGTATATCATGTGACTCAAGAGATATTGAGACAATCCTCACTGAGATCCATTCGATCTTAAAAGTGGACAGTAATGAGAAGTCTAAATAATAGGTAAATATAAGATACATATATACAGATGTTTATATAAACTCAACAACAATATAATATGATACAGCGTTGTCTATCATACCCCAAGGAATCCCTTTATGACGTATTTTCGTTGAACTTTCCGAACAGATCTGATTACGAGAGCAAGATACAAGTTCAAAAACTTGTATAAATTTGCAACAAGGGATTTGAACAGTTTTTTCAATTGGTTCATGAATTAACATTAACTAATGAAAGAACTATCTTAGAAATAGAATCATATAAATTCAAGATGAGTGATCAGACTGCTGTTGTGCTAGTCAAGAAGGAACACCTGGAATTCCAAAAACGTACCATCCCAGAAGTCCAAGACCCTCATTATGTTAAGGTGCGTATCATGTCAACGGGGATATGTGGTTCTGATATCCATTTTTATAAAGAGGGATCAATTGGTCCCTTTATTGTGAAAGCTCCTATGGTTATGGGTCATGAGTCCAGTGGTGTAGTTGTAGAAGTAGGCGATGCGGTCACAATGGTAGAGGTTGGTGACCATGTTGCCATTGAACCCGGTGTGCCTAGTCGTTACTCAGAAGAGACAAAGGCAGGCCATTACAATTTATGTCCACATATGAGATTTGCCGCTACACCTCCCGTGGATGGAACATTAGTTGAATATTATGTTTCTCCAGAGGACTTTGTTCATAAAGTACCAAAATCTATTGCTTTTGAAGAAGCTGCATTAATAGAGCCGTTGTCTGTTGCTGTACATGCCAACAAGTTAGCAGGGACAAAGTTTAATGATACTGTATTAATTATGGGGGCAGGTCCAATTGGATTGGTATGTGGTCAAGTTGCAAAAAGTTTTGGTGCAAGTACAATACTATATGTAGATGTCAACGATTTCAAATTGAATGTAGCTCAGAAGTCATTCGGTGCAACCCATATTTTAAACAGTAAGGAACTTGCAAGTAACGTTTCTGTCGAAGATGCAATTAAAAGTCTATTAAATAACAAGAAGATAAACGTTGTGCTAGAGTGTACTGGAGCTTCACCTTGCGTAGATGCCGGTTTAAAGGCTCTCTCAGCTGGCGGAACATTTGTTGTGGTAGGTATGGGAGCTAATAGTATCTCAGTTCCAATGAATCTTATTTCGATGGGAGAATTAACCATCAAAGGATGCTTCAGATATTGTCAAGGAGATTATAAAGACGCCGTTAGTCTTGTCAGTCAGGGTAAAGTTGACCTAAAGTCACTTATTACTGCCACGTATAAATTCTCAGATGCAATCAAAGCTTACGAGGCACAATTAGACAGTTCTATTGAGAATAGAATAAAGACAGTAATACTTGGTCCCGAGTAATACACTTCAGCTATTGGTATAGGGTCCTTGTATCCTTCCATTTTAAATATACTTATATACTACTATTTGTACATCTGTCTGAATTTGTTAATTAACAGCCTTATTAAAATTTCGCAGTCGCACTTTACGGAGACAACTGCTAGCGAATTAGAAATTAAAATTCTCGAAACAAAAATAAGGACAAGGTTAACTTCAGAGTTATTTTAAAGGATCATGCAAAAGAGTTTAAAGAAGAGACCAACAGACACATTTAACTGGGTTCATTAAGTTGCTAATATTTGTTCATAGAACTCAGTGTATTGTGTATATAGAAAAAGCATCAACAATATGGCGCTATTGTCGAGGAATCTAGGTTTACTACAGATGCGTAACGCGCTACCTAGCGCTTCAAGGTTCTTACGACATCAGGAAGCCTTGATGGTATCTTCGAAGTTCAGAGGTAATACATACACTCATAGATCATTTCACTTTTCTTGTAAACAGATGTCTGAATATGAGCAGGAGAAAGTTATAATCGATGAGATCAACAAGACTCTAACTCCGGAGGATGTTGATCATGCAAGAAAGTTAAGAAATATCGGTATATCCGCACATATTGACTCAGGTAAGACTACTTTCACTGAGCGTGTGTTATACTATACAGGTAAAATCAAGGCTATTCATGAGGTGAGAGGTCGTGATAATGTCGGTGCAAAAATGGATTCTATGGATTTAGAAAGAGAAAAAGGTATCACTATCCAATCTGCTGCTACTTACTGTTCCTGGGATAAAGATAATGAAAATTACCAATTTAATTTAATCGATACACCCGGTCACATTGACTTTACTATTGAAGTCGAGCGTGCTTTAAGAGTATTGGATGGTGCTGTGTTAGTTGTTTGTGCAGTCTCTGGTGTTCAATCCCAAACTGTTACCGTGGATAATCAAATGCGTAGATATAACGTACCAAGAGTTACATTTATTAATAAAATGGATCGTATGGGTGCTGATCCATTCCGTGCTATTGAACAATTAAACTTAAAGTTGAAGATTCCTGCTGCTGCTGTCCAGATCCCCATTGGTAGCGAGAGTGAGTTGAAGGGTATCGTCGATTTAATTAATAATGAGGCTGTATTCAGTGAGGGTTCCAATGGTGAAATATTGAGAAAAGCACCAATTCCAACTGACCTAGCACAATTGGCTTCGGAAAAGAGAAAGTTACTGATTGAAACATTAGCTGATGTTGATGACGAAATGGCAGAAATTTTCCTAGAAGAAAAAGAACCAACAGTAGAAGAGATCAAGGGTGCTATTCGTAGAGCCACAATTGCTAGAAAGTTTTCTCCTGTGTTAATGGGTTCTGCTTTGGCCAATACTGGTATTCAACCCGTTCTAGATGCTATTGTTGACTATTTGCCAAATCCATCTGAAGTTTTAAACACTGCCCTAGACATTGCTCATGAGGAGAAAAAAGTTGATTTAATTCCATCTACACACCAACCATTTGTTGGGTTGGCATTTAAATTGGAAGAAGGTAAGTATGGCCAGTTAACTTATATTCGTGTTTACCAAGGTCGTCTAAGAAAGGGTTCGTTTATTACAAATATTCAAAATGGTAAGAAGGTTAAGGTATCAAGACTAGTGAGAATGCATTCTGAGGAAATGGAAGACGTCGACGAAGTAGGTTCTGGTGAAATTTGTGCTACATTTGGTATTGATTGTGCATCTGGTAATACCTTCACTGACGGTACTGTCCAATATTCTATGTCTTCCATGTACGTTCCTGATTCTGTCGTTTCTTTGTCTATAAGTCCAAAGGGTAAGGATTCTACAAACTTTTCCAAGGCTCTGAATCGTTTTCAAAAGGAAGATCCTACATTTAAGGTTAAGTTTGATCCAGAATCTAAGGAAACTATTATCTCTGGTATGGGTGAATTACACTTAGAGATTTATGTTGAAAGAATGAAACGTGAATATAATGTTGAATGTGTAACAGGTAAACCTCAAGTATCCTACAGGGAATCCATCTTATCATCTGCTGACTTTGACTACACGCATAAGAAACAATCAGGTGGTGCTGGTCAATTTGCGAGGGTTATGGGTAACTTAACTCCTGTAGAAGGTGATAAGAAGGCCAACCTTTTCGAAACTGCCATTGTCGGTGGTGCTATTCCTGAAAAGTTTTTGGCAGCCTGTAATAAAGGTTTTGATGAGGCCTGCGAGAAGGGTCCTCTGATCGGTCATAAAGTATTAAATGTGAAAATGTTGATAAACGATGGTGCCATCCATTCTGTGGACTCTAACGAATTAGCTTTCAAGACTGCCACAATTACTGCCTTCCGTAATGCTTTCCTAAAATCTCAACCTGTTATTTTAGAACCTATCATGAATGTTTCTGTAACATCTCCAAATGAATTCCAAGGGAATGTAATTAGTTTACTAAACAAATTACAAGCCGTTATCCAGGATACAGAAAACAACCACGATGAATTTACATTGAAAGCAGAATGTCCATTAAGTTCAATGTTTGGATTTGTTACTTCGTTAAGAGCATCTACCCAAGGTAAAGGTGAATTCTCGTTGGAATTTAGCCATTATGCACCAACTCTTCCAAATGTACAAAAAGAATTAATCGCAGAATATAAAAAACAACAAACCAGCAAAAACTAATTTTGACGAACAATGGTTATGTCTAGGTGGATAATGGATAATATTACCGAAGGAAACTGAACCACACTTGTAAATATTACTAAAAAAAATTCATTTCCATTATTTTATACCATTTCCACAATCAGACAAATTACTGATGTGCATATATATATATATAAACTTGTACGTATACAATGTAAACAATACTAATATTTAAATTTGAGATTTTTTTATTAATCATATGTATATAATTTATGTTACAAAAAAAAAGAGATGCTGTAAGAGTTCGGTTCTTTTCATATTATGATAGATTGAAAGAAATTTGAAAATGCTAACGGGTATATGTATCATCCTTCTTAATCTTATCTAGAAGATCATCTATCTTTGGTCCCATTAAAGGTTGCCCCGTCCTTGTACGTTGAGTAAGTTTGTTTGATCTACGTTCCCTTTGCTTAAATTTCTCCTTAGATTCATTCAGACGATCTATCTGTCTCTGACGATGTTCTGCAGCCTGTTCAACATTATTTTTACGTCTTTGTCTCTTAATCTCTTTCTTTTCATCCAGTTTCTTTTTCCCTTCCCGTAAACGTTGTTCTTTCATATCACGGACACTCATCTTAACATGAGATTGTGATTGAGCTTCAGGAACTGAGTACCCTTCATCTTTCAAGGCTTTCAAGTATGCCTTTCTTAATCTAGTCTTCTTCGTAATACTCTTTTGAATCTCCCGTACCTTGTACTCTCTGGTGAACTTCTCCTTATTTCTTTGTTGTTTTGTAAATGCCATCTTTGCCCTCTTTAGTATTATTAGGAAATATCTCTATAGGATTATAAGAAATAAATAGCAATTTCCAAATATTGATGCGATTCCTGATATATTATTACCCGTTGACCTTGCTAAAGTTGTCAAAGTCGATGAGCTCATCGAGTTCATTCTTTCATTTTAAAATTAAAATGAAAAATTTTGGCGGGTTGTGCGGGTAAAATCCGGAGAGTTTCTATATCGGTAAAGGACGGTCAACCAAACAAATTCAAAGGTTTCAGAATTGGTGGACCTTTTGACTGATGAAGGGCTCTTTTCCTATTTAAGAAAGTCACGTCGAGAAAGAATCTCTGCTTTAAAGAAAGTTAACTAAAATAATACAGCAACCAAATGGAACTATGAATCGACCAGTGGTTTCTTTGACATATAACCGTAATGGGAAGCGGATTGTCAAGAAAGTGCCATCTGTTCTGCGACAGATTTTATCATCTGACAATAATATACCGTTAACTTCCCAAGAAAAGGACCTCCTTTTCCAATATTTTGTGGATAGTCGACTGACTACCCAAGCATATGAGAGACAATGGGTGCTAGATCTTCTGAGGAAACGCGGTGCTCATGAAGTTGTGTTGAAGTTCGGAAGACGTCATCTCTTTGTAATAAACAAATACGACACCACTATGAAGTTGAAGACACCTTCGACCACAATTAATAAATCTTTATCAACATTAACACCTGTAAATATTCCAAAAAATAACGATAAAGACATTACAAGTAACTATATTCCTGGAAAACGGCCTACCATCTTGATAAAAGATGATGTAGTAGGTTCTGAATTACGAACGTTTATTTATTCGTTGATTTCAATGAGACATACAAGAGAACTAGATACGTTCATGCAATCTATTATTTCACAAGTATCACTAGATAGACGAGGTAGAACTTGTGATTTAATAAGTTCCGTATTCAATGGACTAATGAATGTAGCACACGACGATCCTGATGCTGCAAGTAGATATAAGATTACGGATGCTACAACAATAGATAGATGGGTTAAATGGGTTATATTACTGAATGGTAGTTGCGAATTTGTCTCGTATGCTGATAATAGAGACCTATTAAGGAGAATATTGAACTATCTTACAGAGAAAAAACGTACAGATGACGATAACGCTTTATTTGAATCATTATCAGAAGGTTTAGATTTGGTAAATAAACGTCAAGGAATAACTGCGTCGTCACAATTTGCCACTACATTAATCTACCTAGCATCGTATTGTAAAAATTTTGAACTTGTGGAACAATTATGGAAATATAAAACTGAAAATAAATTTCCAATATATGCATCAGATTTAACAACGATTATGAGAGCTTATAATTATAAAGCTAAATTTAACGAGGTTGCCGAAGCATATGAATCATATCCCGAGGCTCATCATGATGCATCACAATTTGATTATCTACTTTTAGCACACGCAAAGACATTAAGCTGGACTGCATTAAAACACCAGTTCGATGCATTATTTGGAATTGGAAAATTACCAAATATACGGCATTATGAGATCGTTATGTATTCGATGGCCCTTCTAGGGAATGTTAAAGATATTGATAGATTATATTCTCAATTCTTAAGAAGAGGCATGATACCAACATATCCAATATTACAATCACTTTTAGAATGTCATTATAAATCTAGTAATCCTACTGAATGTTTTCAACAATTTCGATTATTTGAAAAATATTCTATTAAACCTACAGCTGCCACATACACAATAATGTTTAAAGTTTACAGAAAACTTAATGATATCAGCAGTGCCTTACGTCTATTGAAAGTGATAACAGAGGAAAATAATGTACCAATCTTGGAAGAACATTTTGTCATTATAATGCAAATGTGTTCTCGGGTTACAAACCATTTAATTGCCAGAGAAATATTTAATATTATGAAGGACCATTATGATATTCTACCTGGTGCAGTATCAGTTTCTGCGTTAATGGATGTTTATACAGAGGCAAAACAATTTGATGATGCGATAAAATTATTTGAAAATTATTCAAAACTTGAAATGATCCAAAGTGATCCAGATAGAATTGCCATTTATACGAGTGCTCTGTATGCAAAGTTAAAATCAAATGATGAAACTGGATGCGATGCCATCCTTGAAGAAGTCTCTTCATCAAACATCACAATGGATTCAAAATTCTACAAATATCTGTTAATGTATATGGTCAACAACCTAAAAGATTATGATGGAGCAAATGACTTATTAAAGAAATTAATAAATAATCCAAAATGGATTGCAAGAGCAAATACAAGTCATTTCGAAGTCATTATGGATGCTTATTCACGAATATCTTACCATGATGGGATATTTAAATTATACAATTTAATGACTGACAACCATATCCCAGTAAATTCTAAAATCCTTTATTATCTGGTTAAATCTACTTTTAAAGTACAAATGTCTAAAAAGGAAGATTTGACTAGATCTATTGAATTTGTTGATAAAATTATGACCAATAGCGCAGAGAGTAATCTATATACATCCGATAGTAAATTCCATCCTTCTATAATGGGTTGGGCTTTAAGGGCTGTGGCCAAATATTATAGTCCCAAAAAGGCTTTAGAAATGTTAAACAGATACGATAAATTATTTTACGATCAAAATACGAGATCAGTAAACAATAAATTTTCATTAATGAGATCACTGGTGGTCTTATTTGCTGAGTTAGGAGACTGGGAACAATTTGAAATTATGTATCAGAATATTTGGAATCAATTGGAGAGATATGAGAAACAACCAACTTCTACAGTTCCTAATATAAAATTAAGATCATTATTTGTTGGTATCTTCTCATATAAGATTCGTCATCTTAAACAAACACAACAAATGGGGAAATTACCTGAATTATTAAATGTATTGAAAAATAGAAATTTTGTGTTGGATAATAGCACATGGAACCAAGCTATTCTTGAATTAGCATCCAATGATCACACAATAAAATATGCATTGGAGTTAACAAATGAAAAATTTATTCATGGTTACAATATTATTCACAAGAATAGATTATTAACAAAACTGAAAAATCAATCATTATCAACCATGAATGATTCATGGTTTTTACAGAAAAAGAAAGAAAACCCTGATAGTTTCATACCGAAACTATATTTAGAAAGTGAAACATTTGATTTACTGTATAAACATTTAGATTCTTATTTGAATGAACAAACTGATACAGAAGGTGTTCTTAAAGAATTGATAAGGAAATATGGTTATTTTATGAAAAACTATTTAATGTCATCACAACATGAAGTTCGTAATTGGGATCTCATTGAACGTAATCATCATTCCTACTTTCAAGAATTGAGAAAGACAAAACGTGTTATTCCTGTTCTAAAATTTTAAGTCTCAAATAAAATGTACTAATCATGTAAATAAATATACATACATACATACATACATACATACATAAACCCCATCCTTATATTATTAATGCATAGATCACATCGACAATTAAAATCTTCTACAAATTACAAGAACTGTCATATAATTTTATTATTAGATAAATAAATTGTCCTTTTTTGTTTAATATATTCTTCTTAAGTTTGTATACGATTTTTTTTCATACAGAGTAATATATATACGTCATTATATAATTAAGTATATATAAAAGTGAGTGATAGTGAATTAGATAAAGATCCCTGAAAGGTAAATTTTATTTTTGTTTTTAAATTTCTTTATGAGGATGCTTAGAAACACTTGTGGTGAACGATAGATGGACCACTTTCGTCGTATTCTTGCTTTGAGATCCACATTTGTTGGAAAGTAGTCAAAGAAGCCAAGATAGAACCACCAATCCAGACAGAGTACTTTCTCTCTGGTGGAGCAATGATCTTAACCTTCATAGAAGATGGAGCCAAAGCGGTGATTTCCTTTTGCATTCTTTCGGCAATACCTGGGAACATAGTAGTACCACCAGACATGACAATGTTACCGTATAATTCCTTACGGACATCAACATCACACTTCATGATAGAGTTGTAAGTAGTTTGATCAATACCTGAGGATTCTAGACCTAAGACAGATGGATGGAATAAAGCTTCTGGAGCTCTGAATCTTTCGTTACCGATAGTAATAACTTGACCATCAGGTAATTCATAAGATTTTTCAATGGAAGAAGATTGAGCAGCAGTTTGCATTTCTTGTTCAAAATCTAAAGCAACGTAACATAATTTTTCCTTAATGTCACGAACAATTTCTCTTTCAGCAGTAGTAGAGAAAGAGTAACCACGTTCAGAAAGAATCTTCATTAAGTAATCAGTTAAATCTCTACCGGCTAAATCAATTCTTAAGATAGCGTGAGGTAAAGAGAAACCAGCGTAAATTGGAACAACGTGAGTAACACCATCACCAGAATCTAAGACAATACCAGTAGTTCTACCAGAAGAGTATAAAGAAAGAACAGCTTGAATAGAGACGTAGAAAGCTGGGACGTTGAAAGTTTCAAACATAATTTGAGTCATCTTTTCTCTGTTAGACTTAGGGTTCATTGGAGCTTCGGTCAATAAGACAGGATGTTCTTCTGGGGCAACTCTCAATTCGTTGTAGAAAGTATGATGCCAGATCTTTTCCATATCATCCCAGTTTGTAACGATACCGTGTTCAATTGGGTAACGTAGAGTCAAGATACCTCTCTTAGATTGAGCTTCATCACCGACATAGGAGTCCTTTTGACCCATACCGACCATGATACCTTGATGTCTTGGTCTACCAACGATAGATGGGAAGACGGCACGTGGAGCGTCATCACCGGCAAAACCGGCTTTACACATACCAGAACCGTTATCAATAACTAATGCAGCAACTTCTAAATAAAAAAAATAATTGTAATAAGGTTCAACATTTCGAAATACAATTAATAGCATAAACGTATTAAATCACGAATGTTAAAAGATAGTAATAAAATTGTTAGTAAAAAGAATTAAGAATTCAATCAAAAAAGTTTTTAAAATACACGTTTCATGATTTTATTAAAAGTTAAAGAAATAATCATGTGTTCGTGTTGCGATATCACTTCAAACGGACAGGTATTTTCAGGAGTCATAATATAGTTCAATAAAATAACCATAGTATTTATATCAAAATACATCAATCGATATTAATTGACTATTATTATGAGATTAGTATCCTATCAAAATCATTATGAATCAAATATCGCACCACTATTAAAAGGGGGTCCAGGTCAGTGTGGCAAAATAATAATAAAAAAAATTACTTCAAAATGGAGATATATTCTTCCACAATTCCCTTTACAACCATTTTAAAGCATGTATTCCACATAACAACAGGTTTTATACCAGATCAGTTCAATAAACTTTCAAATCAAACGTGTAATTTAGGAAATACGCGTTTCCAAGTTCACCATTTCACATACCAGAATCCATTTTTATATATATTTATATTTTTATGTTATTCCAATGTAGTGGTATATACAAAAACAAGAAGTAAACGACATAACACAATAAATCACTTTAAATAATACTACAGACCTTTAATAACTGTAGTCCTGTTACTGAAGGTTGCTTCTCCTAATTGTTGTTGTTGTTGTTGTTGTTGCTCGACTGGACAAACTCTCAAACTTTGCCAAATCAACAGACCAACGCATAACGAAATTTCAATTTTTCCATTTGGAAATTTCACCGCCAAAATTTTTTTCGTCTTTTTTTGCCCCTTTTTTAAAGGGTATTACCCGGGTTAAGGACGGTCACGTGAAGTTTCAGTTCAATTTTGGAATTTAACCACGAACCACGAAACCGGTGGATCAACCATTGATTGTGGTTATATCAAGAACAAGGCATGACTGATTTTACGATAGTTCAGCTAGCTGTATCTGGGGTGGCCAACAATAGTAACGTCAACAATGGCAGGCAAAGCAAGTAAGAAGCAAGTGCAAACTAATATTAAGATTCTAAGTGATCTTTACAAGATAGCCATTCCAATCCTGACACTATCTTTGCTACGTGCTATTTATTCAAAGAGTACAGATGCAACATATACAGGGACAACCTTTAAATGGTTACTTTTGAATGCACCATTGTTAGGTAGTATTTATACCGTGGAATTATCTGGTAGACCACGTATTGTTGTGGATCCACAGACAGGTTCAAAAAAAATTGTTAAAGAAGGTTTAGATTTATCTCAAAGCGATGGATTATTACAATATTTGTTTGATCTAATTTATTTATCACTGTTTGCTAATATTGGTAGAATTTTATTTAATACCAATAAATTATGGTATGTCTTATTAGTCTGTCCAATTTATATCTGCTTTAAACTATATGGTTTAAAACAACAATATTTTGGTGGATCTAGTACTAAGAATTCTGCCAAGACAGATGATTCATCTCCTTCTGAAGTTGAAACAAAATCAAAGAGACAAACTAAGAGGGAGAAAAGAGGTGATAACCAAGTTAAATATAAATATAGGTAAATGTAAGTTGCTAATTTGTAATATTTTATGCTTAATGTTTTATGTAGTTTAAACTAATAAAAAAAAAAAAATAATAATTGATAATCGATAATACAAATATTTAACCCATGTACATAAAAACATAAACAAACAATAACAAATACTACTTGTCCTTTAGATGTACAGAAAAAAAAAGGATACTTCTAAGTCTAATTGTGTTGTTTCCCTTACTTTGGGTTGTCACACAGGTAACATCATGAATACAGATTTGACAATTTGTTTATAAGCATACCATTTAGTTAAAATATTTGGTGGTAATTTTGTAGCTAATAATTGATCTAATTGTTGAATATATTGAGCTGTAATCTCTCTTATTCTAACATTTTGTAAATATCTTAATTTGAAGAACCAAATATAAATTATAATCGACCATAGTTTTAAAATTGATACTAAATTAAATCTAGTTAAAAATCTGAACAATGCAACGGGTAAATCTATCATACCAGAACGTAAACTACAAATAATTTCAATTACTTGAGCCATTGCTAAAAATTGTGCATTATATGTAGAAATAAATCTAGTAATATTATTATTCATTAAATTTTTTAATGAACTATTGATCGGTAAGAAAGGTAATAAATTTTCTTTAAAATAATTTAAACAATGAAATAATGAATAAATTACTGGAGAATATGTAACTCCATTCAATACAATACTATCTGTCATTATTGAACATACCCATAATGCAGTTAACATGATAAAATATTGTAAATTATCCAGCGTTTTTATCTTATGCCTTAAACTTGTTGTTTCTAGTTTCAATTGTCCACTCTTATAAAATTGATATAGAACAATTCCATAAGTGATTGATATATAAAACAATGACATTTTATAATGATATACCTGTGATTTAACAGAAAATATTGAAAGATGAAACCTAACAAAATGATATAATGTAAAAAAATGACCTAAAAACCAATAAAATTGTGGTTGTTTGATTCGTGATCTGATCATGACCCTAAAAGATGCTCGCGAATGAGGTTGATGCATGTCAGGTGCTGCCTCTCGACTTCCTGAACTCGAAACCATACCGATTAATAACTTTTAGCTTTAAAATATGGTTTAAAAAACAACAACTTTGATTCGTTTGTTATCAAAGAACGTCCAAAAGATCAAATAATCAAACTGTGTCAGTGAATATTCAGAATGCAATATTTAAACAAACGCTGTCTCTGACAAACTACAAAACCGCAAATTATGCCTAAACAAACAGATATTATATAATGAAAGTCCTTCACAATCCAAACACCCTTCTATCTACCTATTCTTCCGCGTTTATTAATTAATTTACTTGATAAAGAACTATTATTATTATTATTATAATAATATTATCCCACTGTGTGATTCCAACGACTCGCTGTCTGTAATTTGTTTCTTCCCGCGTGCGTGAATATAATTTATTTTCCGAGTAAAACTGAAATTCTCTTGGAATTTTTTTGACAGGTGAGAGAGACTCCTCTGGACATATACAATAATAATACTAATTTTAAGTGATACAAATGGTAGAAAGATTACGAATGTATATATATATATGTCTGGTGTGGAAGGTGGTACATCGACAGCCCAGTGATGTAATAAATGTTATCAGTTCTTTTTGCGGTAGAGTCTGTAGAAAACACGCATGTTTTCAAGCTTAATCGGATAATCTAATCTTGTACCACATCTGTACCACATACTATCATTTTGATCAATAATTTCCCAATCTCCTTTTGATTCTTCACCTCGTTGACCACATAGAATAGTATCAATGAGAAATTGTAGTGGAAATTTTTTTGTACCAACAGTAATGTGACTATAAGAACCGGCACTCTCTACAATTAGTAACAAACATCCCTTTTGACAATTCTTGTTTAAATTTTGTAAAAATCGTATACTTCCAGCTTTTTGTTCTTTAAACAATTCATTAGTTGTAAAGAGTAATGTTATTAAATCAAGTTTATTCAATTGTAACGCTTGAGAATTCATTGTTAATACATCATTAAGTTCACAATTTACATTGAATGATTCGAACTCATTTGCATAAAGCCAGTGTGTTTCAATTTGTTTCAATAATCTTTCAGTGACATGATTCCATTCTGCAATATCTACAAGGTGTAAATTCAATTTCCCATTTGATGTTGTTGTCTCATCATTATTTTTCTTTGAATATTTTGACATAAATGGTCTGGATGGAGTGAAAATAGATGCAATTGATACTAATTCTGCACCTGCACCACCACCAACACACAACACAGATTTGTCTTCTTGTTCATTACAAGTAAGTATATCTTTGATAGGTTCGAAATGAGAAAATAATGATGCATAACCAAGGGCTCTAGCGGGAGACCATCGACAACAATATGCGACTCTCTTTATATCATTATCAAATGCACCAATATAATCTCTATCATATAAATGAGATTTAACTTCTTGTATCTGCGATTGCAATTTTTCTAAACCAGTTTCTTCTTCATCGTCATTCCCATATAATTCATCATCAAAGGTTCTCTTGAAAAGATCAAGGATTTCTTGTGGTGGTAAACTTGCTTCGTTGTGTTCTGGTAATTGTGAAGACATAATATGATTGTTTTCTATCTGATTAACTATTGATATAAACCAAGATTACAATTAAATATTTTTTTTACACGATTATGTTTTTGCGATGAGCTTTTAATAAGTACTTCGATCATATTTTTTTTTTTTCCTTTCAAAAATATACATATACAGAACACTGAAAAAATAATAATATTATAACGAATTGATAATATATTAGATGATATATAGATTATAATAAAATGCCGTATATATGCTTATGAAAGTACCCTTGAGATTTAAAAAGATAAAAAAGATAGAATGAGGAAAAAAGTGATTAATTGATTAAAATTTAGAAAATATATAAAAAAAAATTTGATATTAAATATTCAGTTTTAGATTTTAAGCAAAATGCACTTATTCTTCGTCTTCTTCTTCGTCTTCTGGAGTGACTTGGTAGAAGGCCAACTTGTATTGGTTAGTCTTGGTAGAAACAAATCTAATCCAGTCTCTCAATTGGTTCTTCTTCAAGTACTTCTTGGTTAGGTACTTTAAGTACTTACCAGAGAACTTGGTAGTAGAAACAATGGTGACGACGGAACCATCTTCTTCAACAGTGATGGCGTTACCTAGGTTACCGGTAGCGTGTTCAACCTTGATGTGGTCGATCAAGTACTTAGCGTAGGAAGCTGGGTCGAAGACACCGTTTTCAGTTGGAGAAGAAACGTCGACAGTGAAGGTCTTGACAATCTTTTGCTTTCTGGTAGTCTGTATTAAAAAAAAAAATTCGAAGAATTTTAAACATTGTTAGTAACTAATCATTTTTATTTTTTTTCTAATTGTCTTTACATATTTTTTGCCTACTGCTATTAACAATCACATCAATTTCAAAAATAAAAAAATACTGAATTCAATAATATTGAATAATACAATTGGAGAAGAGTGAATTTTTAAAATACAGCATAGCACAACAATATAAAAAAAATAATTCATTATATTAGCTTGGACTGACACAAAATTATAAGGATATTATATATCCATATCAATTTAATAAACTTTTCATTAATTGGATTCTTTTTCGGATTGTAACCTGATTTTGTTAATTTAAGCAAAAGAAACAATAATATGATTAAACGGAATTCTTCATGTTAATGAACATACGTTTGGAGCCATTTTAACTGATTATTCTTGGTTATAGTGTACGGTTTATTGATTCAGAAATAAAGTACTTAATATGTGATTTAAAATAGTGATAAAATATATATTCAATGTTAAATAGTTATAAGAGTTGATGATGTAAAAGCAAAAATGAAAAATGATAAAATTGTTTGAGTAAATGAAATAATTATTTTTTTCTTGACGGCGCGGCGATATCAAATGGCCAAAAATCTAAAAAAAAAAAGTTGTAAACGGTTGCGTGGGTGCACGGTTGGAAGTCCACTTGCACATTTGGATGTGCGGATGTCAGTTTCTGAAAGTCACAAAAGACAATTCTTACAATTTTGAAACAATACTGTTACAAGAAAAAGTACATAGATATATATTTATAGAAGTGTTTTAGGTCCCTAATACGACCGTTTCATGAATGTGACATAGCATATCAATCTTTAAAGCTGAGTATCATACCATCAGTTACAGCAAAGTTGTAGTTTTTGCTCGTCTATTTGGGAGGATACTGGATGATTATATAGATACTTATATTTTAAAACAAAAAACGACGTCCATATTACTGATGTGAGTAGAAAAAACACTCAACAAGAAATTAGTTTTGTTCAATGATAGTTACTGAACGTGAAAAATATACAAAACCAATTAATCTTCTTAGTATTCGATGAGAAACAACGGGGACCCTTTTCAGTTTTTGGGTTTTGAATAAACAAATATGTTTTCATTGCTTAGAATACTGCGTGCGAAACCTTTGAGGAAAAGATCAAAACAAAACCAGAAAAAAACGTTGTTCCGGTTACAATGATTATTAAGCTGAAAAATTATGTAAACAAAGAAAACGACACAGAATTTTGTGATTGACAAAAGTTTTTGGATACATATATATATGAAAGGTCCTTTTAGATTTAGTTTTAATTTTGAGTATAAGGTTTGTTACTATCCATACAACTAGTGGCAAACGAAATTAGTATACTAAGAAGTTCGTGTGCGCATTAATTTGTTCTTTTTTTTTTTTGGAAAATATGTTTAGAAACATCATCTCATCGGTACAACAAAGATTTGTTAGAAATGGCCCATCTTCTCAAGCGAGACATCTGGCAGAACAAACAACTAAGAAATTAGTCAAGGGTGCAGTCCTAAAAGATTCAAAAGGTAGAATCTCCAAACCGATCGTTTGGATTGATTGTGAAATGACAGGTTTAGATCATCATAATGATCATATTATTGAAATTTGTTGTGTCATTACAGATGGTAATTTAAATATTGTCGATAAAGAAGATAATAATTGTTATGAAAGTGTTATCCATTGCGATAAATCTATTATGGATAAAATGGGTGAATGGTGTATTGAACATCATGGTGAAAGTGGATTAACTGAAAAGGTACTAAAAAGTAAGAAGACAAAGGAACAAGTTGAAGATGAATTATTAGAATATATTAAAAAATATATTCCTGATGAAAATGTTGGTATATTAGCAGGTAATTCAATTCATATGGATAGACTCTTTATGTTAAAAGAATTTCCAAAAGTCATTAATCATTTATTTTATAGATTGATTGATGTTAGTACTATAATGGAAGTTGGTAGAAGATTTAATCCAGAAATAGTTAATGTTTTCCCAAAGAAGGAAACTGCCCATACCGCAAAGAAGGATATCTTGGAGAGTATTGCTCAATTAGAATGGTACAATGAACATTATTTAAAGTCTCCAGAAGAGACAAAAGATTTTGTAGCTTTAAGAAGAGAAGAAATGAAGAAACAAGAAAGTCAAGATATTTTGAATTCTCTTGAAAAGAAACGTCCTGCTGAAGAATCTGAGGAAGAAACTGATTCGAAGAAGAGAAAGACTGAATCAGAAAATTGATCTTCATTTTTTAATGCCCCATCCCTTAATGTTTCTGTGCCCTTTCCTTTTATTCTTTTCCTACCCTTTAATCAATCTAATGGGTTGTTTTATGTAATATTAGTATCATTTAATAGTTTTTCTCCCTCTTGTCTTTTTATTTTAAAATGCAGAAGGGAATGTTTATGAAAAATAGAAAATGTTTTTTAATGAAGAATTGTAAAATTAATTTAAATTTATCAAATATATAGATGCATAGATGCTAATTTGTATATTTACCGACCCAATTGTGTGTTATTTTTTGCTTATTATGAGAATAAAAAAGACAAGCAAAAAAATACCTAATGATATATGTTCATAATTGTTCCTTATCTCGCATTGTTGGTGGTTCTACAACACGCCTCTTTAACAAATGCGCACCTTCAGTATAAATATATTCATCTAATGAATAATCTGAAGGTTCACTAAATAATAAATAATAATATTTTAAAGTTTGAGAGAACCAATAACTAGGTAAAGGAACACTTTTTTTCTTTAAGTCTGCAATTTTCCAAGTTCCTTTAGCACCCATATTATTTTTTTCCATTGTAACTATTATTTGATCTTTCAATTGACTACCCATTTGTCTCCATTTTTCATCGCCTGTAGTTCTATACAAGAAAAAGATAGATTTAATTAAATTTGGTGATAACAATGTACTATTACTGACACTATTAATCCATAATGGTCTCTCTGGATGATTTTTCCAAGTTTTTGCAGTTTTGTCAATATCTTCATCCGACAGATGAATATTCATAAAAGTTTCATCGTCAATGAAATGAAATGATTTAGTAATAGTGTCATCCATATTAGTTGATTCTTCATTATCGATTTCAGTTGATGATGGAACGATTTTTTCATTATTAATGTCATTATTAATGTCATTATTAATGCCATTTTTAGTTGATTTCATATTAATAACTTCTTTAAGCATTTCCTTTGATGAATCAATAATTGATCTCTTTATTTTCTTGTTTGTATTTGTATCTGTCTTCATCAATTCTACTACAGTATCCTTAGGGAATCCATTTTCAAATCCGACGTACCTGCCGTCTTTAATATCTTTCAATTTATCATCCTGGTTAAAGATACAATCTCTAGTGATACAGGGATCCAATGATAATTCTGCTAATGCACCATCTTGACTCATTGCTAATTTGAAACAACTCGAAGTCAATTGATCAGCCAATTTCATTTCATTATCATTGTTAATATTTTTTGGGAACAATTTAGAACCATATGATAAAGTTGCCCCCAGGACACAGGATTCGGGATGAAATTTAAAATCTCTTCTTAACTGTATTGCTAAATCATTTGTTGATGGTGAAAATATTGGATTTGCATTCAAATTACTCATTACTATTAAATCCTCCAATTCACCTTGTGGATGCATTGGTTGAAATTTGAAAAATTTATCCATTTGTTCCATTGCAGAATGATAAAAATATGAAGAATTCATTGAAGTCCTATCTGAAGGTTCCAATAAATCAGTTTGTGTCAAAGCATATAATTGTAATAGAGTATCATAAAGTGGTAATAAATTTGAATCTAATTTATAAATTGATGAAGACTCTGGGAAATAAGTCAATTGATGACAATGAATAAATTTTAAATTTTCATCAATACTTTTCATTATTCTTGAATCACGTTGATGATCACCTTTTTGAACATCTTCATTAGTCACCAAAGAACAAGTAGATGCATCAATCAAATCCGGGAAAATTGATTCAATGGTTAAATATTCTGTTGATTGAATTGACATAATTAATAGGTGGAACATTGTATTAAAATATTTGTTGGATCCTGTTAATTGAGTCAATCTTGTAAATTCTGAACTCATTTTAATTAAATCTGCAATCGATGCATCCATATAGGCAAATCTATTCTTAAAGGGTGTCTTCCAAGAATACTGCAAAAGTCCGACTCTATTCGGAGTATCGAATGCTCTTAATAAGAAATCTGCTAAATCTTTAGCCTTTGTCAACAATATTTTATCCTCAGAGAGTTCATAAGCTGATAATAAACCACCAAGTAATCTTGTTGATAAATCTACAATATCAATAATTTCCATTGTCATTGGCGGGACTTTAAAATCTGTTGTCGTGACTGTATTTAAAATTTTTTGAAATAATAAAGTTTCACCCATTAGAAACAAAGTATCCATTGAATCGACTTCATCGATGGGCCAAGTCGATCCATGATCAATCGATAACAGATGTAATTTCTGTTGGTCCCAAGATTTCAACAAAATCGTACGAATTTCTTCTCTATCGTCCACATAACTTCTCGTTTCTATACGATTTGAATATAATTGTACAGTGTTTGAATTTTTCTCGTCTTCGTTCGAAGTCGTGAGTGTTGTCATTGTGGAATGACGATAGAATGAAGATAAACTAATTTCATACATCAACGGATATTTTTCTTTAAAATTAATTAAATCTTGTCTTGATAACTCGACATCATCCAGATCTAATTTTGTAGTTGGATCCAATATTGGAGATTTCAACCAAAGTGGGAAATACTTGTTTTTTTCCTTTAGCACAAGGGGATCAGTTAAATCTATGCTAATTTTATTACTAATGACAGTTTCTTGCTCTTCATCGACGGGATTATTATTATTATTGTTGTTGTTGTTGATTGATTTAAGATTTGAAATCAATTCGGAAGTTTGAGCCGTTGAATGTTCTATATGCTCATTATTAATTGATGGTAAATATTCATTTTCTGCGTACGAATTCAAAATATCAATTTCATTTTGAAACGTATAATAAAATAAAGTTGAAATTGTAATAGTTAATAATAAGACAGATTTTACTTTTCTTATTGTTGCGAAGAATAATTTCGAGATACTCATCTCTACATACTTTACTTCTTGCACCTAAGCTAGTAATAACGAGGTTTCTCTGTGTGTGTATAATGTGCATACACTTGCGTATATATGTATACATATATATATATATATATACATATCAGCAAAAAAAAAA